CTCTTAACGTTACAAATGGGGAAAAATTACGAAATCACACTATATTTTTTCTTTTCAAGAAATGTGTACCAGGGTACACTAGATTCACTAACTTTAAATCAGAAATGCAGTTGGCATTTCCATAACTATTTCTAAAGGGAAAACTCCGAAATACTCCCATGCAGGAAAATATATAATGAAGAGAGGTCCTAAGTGGGTTTAGGACAGAACTTTTAATAATCAGATCTGGTGGTGTCTATCTTCAAGCACTAATATGAGAAAGTTACCAACAATTTATTCTTTCCTACTGATAAAACAGGGATACTTGTATTTCTGGACCTATGCATTCAGTCCTTCTCCTTCTATACAGAAATGTACATATAGAAGTTTTGGTTTTTTTTTAAATACCATCATCCAGGAAACTGGGAGTAACAAAACTGACCAACTAGCCTGTCTTATCAGTCTCAAAATGCCATGAACTACACATTTTAATTTACTGGAAAATTTTTTTGAGAATTTTGAATCACTGTCGGTTTGCAAATAAACACCTTTTGTTAGGAGCATATTGAAAAGCATATAGAATAGTTAACTGCGTCCGGCATGTGAGCATATGTCCTGATTTATTGTATGTGCCTCTTCTTTTCCTCCTTGCCCTTTCAGTGATAACTAACTAAGCACTTCAGAGCCGCAGGGTGCACAGGCCATCTGGGATGATCTGAGATTGCTGAGGACAGGGACATCAAAGCCCTGGAGCAAGTTCTGTTTAAGGTCTGACGAAGACACGCACACTGACTGGAATGTGTACACTCTGGACTGTTCTTGTTTGCAATTAAGCAGAGCACTGGAAAAGGAAAAGAAAAAAATGTAACAAACAGTTATACTATCTGCACCACACGGCCTTGGCTGCACTGGTGTTAGAGGTATACAGATCTGTATGTTCGGACTACATCTCCCAGGAGTCCCAAAGCTACAAATTGGCAGATCTCTAATTAGTATCTTCAGTGAACAAAAAGCTTTAATTAGTCAAACCAGCCATTTAAAATCCTGGATTTGCTTGTTTTTGTTTAAGGATACACTAAACCTGCCTGAATATCTGCTCTTCGTTTTACTGGTAAATCTTATTCATACTTTAAAGCCCGGGAATTTTAATGCTTTCAGAATATTTGCCATATTTGTTGCAGCAAGAACAACTAACCATGATATAACATGATAAAAAGTAACAGATGGGTGTCATCGGATCTCCTGAAGGGCGGGAGTTGAATGTAAGTGATGCTTGACATCAAAGAAATTCACCTGGCAAGAGGGACAGAGAGCCCAGTTTTACAAGGTGGGAACTTTATAAAAACAAAGACATGCATCCTGATTGCATCAGATAACAGTATTGGTTGAAGTTAAAAAGCATGGTGGAGTTCTCAAGCCCCATGTGTGGCAACAGAGTACAATAGGAAAGAGCTGGGCATGACCAGCCTTCAAATTCCATAGCCTCATATTTTATCCAGCCAATTAGCCACCTCCTCCTTTTATTAAATATATTTTATTTGAATATTATTGTTGCCAGCCAGCGACATCTTTGGCCAAAAAGGAAGACTGGAAGGAAGGAAGTTCAGATGCTGTCGGGAAGGCAGGGGTGAATGTTTGGGGTCAGCGCAAGAAGAGGAGACTTTTTAAAGAGACGACCACCAGCACCTTTCAGCCACCTCTGTTGAGCCTCATTGAAAGGCACCAAGCCCACTCCCAGACTGGGCTTGTTTCTTGCAGAGACATCGCTGGTCTCAGAAACAGGAACTGAGGCCGTTACAGAATTGACTATGTCAAGAGGTCTAGGGTGGACAACTCAGCTCCCCATGGAACATGAGGGCACTGACAGGGAACCACTGTAGAAAGCATCTGCTCCAATGAAGAGCAATCTTGCCAGCAACCTGGAGCCAATGGAATTATTGGCAGGCAGGCTGGGGTAGGGACGGGCTTCACAATAGCAAACAAAGGGCCTTAGTAGTTAAGCTTAGCTGATTAAATATATCCTCACGATCTGTAAGACAATGTATACAGCAAGGCAGGGTAGTTCTAGGGAAAATTAAAGATAATTTTAGAATTAACCTTCTTTTACATTCTCAAGAGGGAATACAATCTTAATAAATTGTGCCTGCAGAATGAGTAGCTTTTGCAAGGCAAAGAGGATTCCAGCCATTACACATGCTTCCAAACTTTGACTCATTTATGAGTCAGACATGCTGCAGAAAGGTCAGAGGGGATTCTCAGTCTTGGATGACTCACAGAAAGGAAGGAAAATATGCATTAGGATTAAGTGCCTACTTGTATGTCATTTAGCCAAGAACTGCACGGCCCAAGATGAAGTCTCTTGGTTAGAACAGAGATGGGAAAGTAAGGACAGAATATAAACACCTTAATATCCAGTAAGCTAACATGCATACATATAGAAAAGAGTCTTGCAGCACTGTAAACACTAACAAACACATCATATTATTAGTTTTATGATATGTAGGGCACCACATCAGATGCATGAACAGTTACCCAGAATTTAATATACGGTATGCTATAAACTGGGTTTAGCTGGATTATTAGTTTTATGATATGTAGGGCACCACACCAGATGCATGAACAGTTACCTGGAATTTAATATATACTATAAACTGGGTTTAGCTGGAAAGCTCCGCCAGTTAGGTTTCTGGCTGCAGAACCAGAGGTTGGAGCTCAATTTCCCACTTTATCTCCCAAAAGAGCCAGCCTGTGTGGCCTTGGACAAGCTGCACAGTCCCAGGATCCCCCCTTGAAGAAGGAAATGGTAAACTACTTCTGAGTACCCACTACTTAGAAAACCCCCAAAAGGGTAGCTATAAATCAAAATTGACCAGATAGCACACAATTGTTATTATAGCAGACTGCAGATAGTAAAGTCATGAGAAATTGCATGCAGACATTAATGTTGTTCATAAAAGTGTTGTGGATAACACAAAAATACCCCGGCAGTAACTAAGGGTGCAATTACACAGGAGGAAAAATCTGGTTTGCTTCAAATTTTTCCAACCAGGTCCCTGCTGGTTTCTATGGGTGAAATTGCTGTAGCCATCCACACCAGTACAATCAATTATCATATTGTAGGAGTCCAGAAGAGCAGAGGCAGAAAGCTATGCCTTGGGTCTTTTTAAGGAGAAAGTCGGGGTGGAAATATTTTAAATAAATAAATGAAAAAAAGCCAGCTTTACCAAGATTTCTAACAGGACCCCTTCCTTTGTCATCTTTTTTCTTTTCTTGTTTTATTTTTCTAAAATGAAATTGCGCCTTTCTAATACAGTGCTGCATTTGGCAAGCATCATTTTAAAATAGAAAAATTTGAAGGGAACTGATGTAATAGTGTGCCTATTGATGTCTCCATGACCAGCCCTTTCCATCACGTCAGGTGATCACACATGCCAGAAAGCAGAAGAAAGCAATGCTGGCCAAAATGGAGCAGAAAAAAATTGCCTTCTGCTGGCTGAACAATAAGAGACCATTCTCCAGTGGGGGGGAAAAAAACAAGCTTTACTGATGTTGTGTAGTCACTGGTTTTTCACATTGATTTTATTCATGTCAAATTTGATGCAAATTTGTAGGGCAAATGACCAACAAAATTGTCACCTAAGCCAGGTAACACAAACAGTGTGGTTAAAATCCTATCTGAAATTAATTTCATGTTCAATTTATTATTTATACTCTGCCTTTCTCCCAAGACAGATTACAAATCTCTGGTAATAGACCAGAACTTGTTAATGAGCTGTATCTCAGTAGTCTGTATTCCTCCCAAATCTTCTTCGAAGGTTCTCCGCTGCACAAGGGCTACATTAAGGAAAGAGACAGATTGGCCTGAGGGGTTTAGGTGGTTTGTTGGTTCATTTGTTTGTTTGCTGCAACAGGGTTTCAGGGCTACTGTACCTCTTTAGTAAATGTAAAAATGGAGGCAGGATGGTGAATATGTATCAGTATGTATTTATACAGATCTAGTTTCAGATCCTTAAGATTGCACAGGGAGATTTACTTCCTGGAGGTAAGTGTAGTACCATCTTTGCACAACTAGTGTACAGTATTGGTACTTAAGATGTACTTTTTATTTCTTATTTAATAAAGAAAATGATTGAATACATGTGAAGCCTGAACATGTCATTTGTTGGCTTCAAGCACCAAACATATATGTTCATGATGTCTGTAGATAAATCAGTTATTTATCTATACTGTAACCAACACTATGTGTGCACCAAGATTCATCACATAATGCTACATGGGTGGAGTGAAGAGCTTAACATATGCAGTAGTGCAGATTTAGTTGTGGCAAGGAGGGTTCTCACAGAGGCAGGACAATGCCAAGACAGATTTTAGCAAATATTAAGGACATGAGATAACTTAATGAGGTATCTTTTACTTTCCAAAAAAACAAAAACAAAAAACCCAAAAAACTGAAGGTATGAAACACAAACATCGGTACTATACAAAATGGGATGCAGTATGACTTGCAATGCTTCATTGGATACAGCAGTAAGAAATAATTTGAAAAATAGGTGGGTACAAACACATCTTATCCTCTACAGCAGTAGTTCCCAACCTTTGGTCCTCAGATGTTCTCCCAGGAATCCTGGCCAGTACATCTACTGGTGAAAGTTTCTGGGAGTTTTGGTCCAAAACATCTGGGGACCCAAGGTTGGGAACCATTGCTGTACAGCACTGGTTTTTAACCTTGGGTTACTCAGGAGTTTTGGACTGCAACTCCCAGAAGCCTTCACCCCCAGCTGTCCTGACTGGGGTTTCTGGGAGTTGCAGTTCAAAAGCATCCGAGTAACAAAGGTTAAGAACCACTGCTCTACAGCATCCTCTGCAAATCTGATGACCCCAGCTGCACTAGACTACAACTCCTATAACCAGTAACCAAGCTGGTTAGCTATCTGGACAAAACTAATGACGTAAATTTATTGTATGAAGGCTGTTATATATTCTAAAATATTAAGTCCTGAGATTTTCACTCTTCCATACAGGGAACGCCTTCCTGCCTTCTTTTTCAAATTCCAGTTCAAGAATGTAGAATACAGTTCTGGCAGGAACAAGACCTTTCTGTGCTATATTATAGAGATTCAAGGCAAGGAGCCAAAAACCATTAAGGGCTATCTGGAGGATGAACATGCTGCAGCCCATGCAGAAGATGCTTTCTTCAATACCATCCTGCCTACCTGCGAGCCAGGCTTGCACTACAATGTCACCTGGTATGTCTCTTCAAGCCCCTGTGTGGCCTGTGCTGATCGGATAACTAAGGTCCTACAGAAGAACAAGAAGTTACGACTCTCCATCGCAGTGGGGCGTCTCTTCATGTGGGAGGAACCCGACATCCAAGCTGCTCTGAGGAAAATGAAAGCAGCTGGCTGCAAAATGAGGATCATGAAACCTCAAGACTTTGAGTACGTCTGGAAGAATTTTGTAGAGCAGGAGGAAGGGGAGGAACCAAAGGCCTTCGCTCCCTGGGAGGATATTCAAGAAAACTTCCAGTATTATGACGAAAAACTTGCAGAGGTCTTGCATTGAGCTTGGGGTAAGTATATGACCTTGGAAAACTCTTTCCCATTTTTTAGGCCAGTGAACTTTAACTAATATGATTCATTTTGGTAAGGCCACTCAAAAACATTTTGCTGCAGCACAATAACAGATAGTGCTTCAAGACAAGGTGCATAGTACCCTAAGGCTGGCTAAGGATTTTTTGGCATCTGAGGTGGATTGGGGGGATGACTCTCACTGTGAAAAGTGAGGTTTGCAGCTTGGGGGTACATCTGGACCCGGCACTCACCATGGAAACTCAGGTGGCATCAGTGGTCCGCTCCGCCAATTACCATCTGTGGCGGATTGCCCAGCTGCATTCCTATCTTGATGGTGGAGCCCTCACCACTCTGGTCCATGCTCTCGTAATCTCAAGATTAGACCACTGCAATGCACTCTACGTGGGGCTACCTTTGAGATTGATGCAGAAGCTTCAAATGGTGCAGAATGCAACAGCCAGACTACTTACTGGAACAAGAAAACACCAGCATATCTCTCCCACTCTGGCTGCCTTGCATTGGCTGCCCATTCATTTCCGCATTGATTTCACAGTGTTAATGATGACTTATAAAGCCCTAAATGGTTTAGGACCTCGATACTTAGCAGAACGCCTTCTCCCACCTAGATATACTCGAGTCACTCGTTATAGCCAGGAAAGACGGTTGAGGGGCCTAATGCCGAGAGAGGTCCGAAAAGAAAGAACAAGAAATCAAGCCTTCTCGGCAGTGGCCCCTCGACTTTGGAACAGTTTGCCATCAAAGATTCACCTGGCACCCTCGCTGGGGGTTTTTAAGAGCCAATTAAAGACCTGGCTCTTTAAGCAGGCCTTCCCTCCTATCAATACTTGATTTTTCTTTTTATTTAGTTTTCTTTATTTCCTCCCATCTTGACCAATGTTAATCTTGTTAATTTAAATTGTTGTTTTAACTGCATATGTATATTGTCTTATGAATGATTTTATGTAAGCCGCCCTGAGTAGACTTTGTCTAGAAGGTGCGGGATAAAAATCTAATAATAAATAAAATAAATAAAAATTGTCTCCCAAAAGGATACAACACAATAATTTAAAAAGAAAAAAATGGCTGAAACCTTGTTGACACAACTACTCTCCTGGAAGGCTTATGTCACCAGCAGGCACTGGTTTTTAGAAATAAAACACTTGTTCTGCTGTGCCGCAGCTTCCCTTCGATTGTGTAGAAATTGTGGAAGCTAACAAATGGGAAGAGGAAGTCTTTAATTATTGAAATAGATGACAATGGCTTCCTCCTCCTGTCCCACAGCTCCCACGTGATAGTATTATGTGGTAAAGGTGGCTTTGCATTTTGCTTTGTCCAGACTTAGAAAGAAATAGCAAAGATGTCGAGAGCAAAGAGGGATATGCACCCTCCTCCAGTTTCAGGAGAGTCACCCTGGGGTTAGGCTCATGAGTAGTAGGAACAGTAGAGATGCCTCTGAAAATTCTTTCACAGTGATTCCACGTACTTTCTCTTAACATGTGAATGTTCCATTGTCCCACCACATGGAATCAGTATCTCACTCAGGACCTTTCCCAGAAACCCTCAATATGCATAACGTCTGTACTTAGGAAGCTGCCTTATACTAAGCTACAGTATATCACTGCTCTATCTAGCTCACTACTGTCTTTGTCAGAGATAGTGTTCAAGATCACTATCTTGTCACCTCACTCCAAATGTGCAATTTCGCATTGCCCAAGATTGCTTTCCTGGAGCTTGCGCAGAGATAGCTAATATCTCCTTGCATAAGGGCAAGCCCCATCAAAAATAACAGGAGTTATATTTGGTTTGTCCAAAAGCAAGCTGAAGACTACAAGATGTCTGTGGAAAAAGTATTACACTCTACTTGCAGTGTGGAGGATAATGGCAAAGATGTTTTGGCTAACAGAACCCATTAACTTTTACTAAAGGTCATGTTGGGGTTGACATGTTGCCTGAACATCTAACAGGCTCTGTGTTACACACTGCAGTCTATACTAGCAGTAATTCTCTGTGGTATTAGATAAGGGTCTTTTTAGCAGTATCTATCGAGGAGTCTCAGGAGTTGAAACTGGGACATTCTTCCATGCCAAGCAGATACTTCTCCATGAAGATGAACTTAGTTTGTCATGCAGTGCTATTTATAAGTCATATGTTCTAAATTATGTTTGAAATGGTTTTCCTTTGTCTGCAGTACAAATTCAGGGTTGCAAATCCCATCAGTTTAAAGTTACACAGTGGAAAGGGGAGACACAGCATTTATTTCTCAGTGTTTTTGATCTAGTGCAGCAGGTGGCCCATGGCATCAACATAAACTTCAACAAGCATGTCAGCACTGTAAAACTAAAGTCAAACACTGGTCTCTACACAGACTGCCCATAGGAAGTCAAGAAATGTTCTAAAACAAGAGCAAAGGAAATTTTGTCTAATTAAATAAAACCTGTCATATGTTAGAAATTTGGAATGAAGAAAAAAAAGTCCATCCACCCTAGCCTAATCTGTGAAAACACATTTGTTGTTTATTTTGCAAGAGGCACACAAAATGGAAAGGCACGGCTGATTTTGAACAGAAAGTCCTGCACCTTTGCAGTACTGAAGTTGCACAACTAAAGTCTCCCTTTCTCTCTCTAGGAGAAATCTACCAGCACTGTGGAGAGACCAACATGATATGCTTTGACATCTGGGACTACCCCTTCAGTGCTCCAGAGCCACTGTGAAAGAGAAAAACACCACTCATCTCTGGCTGACGTGCTGCTCCTGCCACTGATAAACTAAAAATACATATACTATGATGCATGTAGGCATTTGGTTGTTGGAAACAGATAAAACTGTACCTCTGCAGCTCATACAGAAAGGGGGGGGGGATTAAAAGATGCAACAAAGGGGAAGGTGTCCAGTGCAAAGCTTTGTCATCACTGAAACTTCAGAGAAACAAGTCAAATCACAGCAAAAACTTGCAAAACAATAGCACAATTTAGAGGTTGTTGTGGGTTTTCCGGGCTGTTTGACCGTGTTCTTAATTTAGAGGCCTAGCAAATGTTGGCATTATAAAAAGATACTCTCTAAGACAACAGAAGTAAGTATAATAATGTGTTGTCTTTATTTTTGGTGACATAACTAAACCCTACAGCTTAATATGCAGGTTAATTGCTCTGTAGCAACTGCATCAAGTAGAGCTCAGTAAGTTCTACAAGTGTTTCTACTGTATAAGAGCAAATGAGAAAATAAAATTTGTTGAATTAAGCTTGACTGAATGCTTTTCTCCAAAAAGTAGAACCTAGATTTGTCAGTTAAGCTAATTAAAATTTAAAAACAATATTCTCTTCACATAATATTTTCTTTCTGCAGTATTCTCTTCCCACTAAGTTGAAAATGTTTTTGACCAACAAGTCTTTATAATGTCTGTCATGAACTGACCAAAGTGTTCCAAAAACATAGGTCCAGCTAACTAGTGGTGTACAGGCAACACAGGATTCAGCTTCCACTCTGGGTCCGAGATTCAGAAAGTAGCCTGATTCACTTGGATTGTTTTCTGGGGCTGCATGGATAAACCCGATTCTGAACCAGTACTTCACTTCAAAAATCCAATGATTTGTGCATGCTTTACCCCACTATTGTGAAATTAAAAAGCAGCAATTAAAATGTGTGTTTTTTTAAAATCTAACTGGACAAAATTGGCAGGCATATTAACCCAAGAGGATGAGGTATGTAAAATACAGGGGAGAGATGCAAGCTTTTATAGTGGTGTTATGTATCTTGCCACAATTAACTGCTTAAATGCTGAAACACATCTCAGTTACTCAGATGGGCATGTGACCAAGTATGCATTCAAGACTCACTCTGGCACCTCATTAATTGGCAGTAGCTGGCCACAGCAAGTTACACAAAACTTACACAAGTTCTAGCTGTATATTTTAAGGGTGGATTCACTTACTCTCTATGAAAACAATACGTCACCAAGGGATCCCTAAGTAAGAAGCTGAAACTTTTCAGAATACAGTATGTTGAAGTTTTTTTTTGTTTTATTAAGCTTCTTTATTAGTTTATTACTGAGGATAAACTGAAAAATGAATAACTTTCTCCCACTTCCATTCAGCCCTTTCTTAAAATCATTATGCATATTATCAGTTTCTTAGCACTTTTGGTCTTCCTGTTAAATCTATTCAGAACATTAAGTCATCATAAATAAGCAGTGCCCCCTGCCTCATCCCCTACTACACCCCTTCCCCCAACATTCATTTGGGCCTAATGATACAAAATTGATTCTGATTTTCAGTGTTTGTTTTGTTCTGTGAAACTGCAGTCTCTAGCAACTGTAGTATTTTGTGTGTGATTGATACAAATTGTCTTCACATGCATATGCAAACACAATTAAACATAGTCAGTGTATCAAACTAAACTTCATTTATTTTAAGTCTCTTAACAACTGTACCTGTCCTGAAATTTTGCAGATTACTTACTTATGTCATAGTAGATGCATACAAATTGCCCACTGCTCATATTAATCATTCTGAAAAACCAAAAGTCAGAATTCACATTCTATATAGTGTACACATAGCTTTTCAAATATTGTTGGCTGCAGCTCCCGTCAGCCTTGGACAGCATAGCCATCAAGTGAAGAATGCTGGGAGCTGCAGACCAACATGTGGAGGGTTACACTTGATCCACTCCTTTCCTGAAAGGTGTAAAATTATGCAACATATGATCTGCAGGGGGGAAATGGCCTAACGGAACTGATCCAGAATTCCATACACATGCCAAAATACACACTGAGCTTTTACACAGGATTCTCCATTGATTTGATCAATGAAATAAGGTGAATATATAGGACTTTGGCTGAACTCTTGTTGCTTACTTAGTGTAAGAAAATTTGAAACCTTCAGTCCCTGCAGCAAATTTTGGGGACTAGTGTGCATACTGGAGTGATACATGCATGTATACTCCCCCACCCACCCAAAGATCACAGTGGGGACTTTTTATTTGCTGATTAGGAACAAACTAAAAGTTGAACATTTTCTTATGCCAAACATCAGGATTTAAACCTCTACATGTATGCAACAATCACTGTACTATTTAAAATAAATATGCAAGTCACATGTTTAGAAAATGCATTTTATTTACATAAAAATAAAAAGGAAAATGCCATTTCTTTTAACTGTCCACATATATATCTTCACTAGTTGAGCAACGGAACACCATAATTTTGACATTTAATTGGAAAAACAAGATCATACAGAACATCCAGCTATAACCAACAGCAATGCAAATATTTGTTTATCAATCTAACTGATTCAATCAAAAGAAGGACAGACATGTTAGCTCGACAGACAGAATAGTCCTAAAGATGTAAGCCATAATTTTCTGCAAAATAGTCTATGACTGCACACAGTAAGAACTGTCTGGAAGATGAAAGGAAAATTCAATTGTGTATTCCACTGTCAAAACAATTACAGGTATACAATGTAATGAACAGGAAAATAAAACCTAAGAATTAAAGTGTATAAACTGTAATGTAAACATCTGTATCTTCAAATACTTCTTCAAGCATTGTTGAAACTTTATTCCAATCCAGGCGGTCAAGCCCACACCCAATCCTGGAAAATAAAGAATGCAAGTATTTTGAGAATTTTCCAGTTCAATTTATAGAATGTACAAAGGCAATACCAAAGTAAATGTAAACTATAAATATAAACTGTAACAGTGTAGACCTATGTATTTGATAAAAATATAAAATGACAATAAGCTCCTCACCCACAATTATTAATTCACACTAAAAGAATACCCTAGGACTTTGTATACCATTTTTATTACTTTGAAGTTTATTCTACTGATGGGACTTGCTTCCAAGTATACACAATTAAGATTACTAAAGTTTTTGACAGGAAACCAAAGGTACATGACCATGAAAGGAATATAGTAGGTCTGTCTGCAATTAACCAGTGCCCATCATTTCTAAGATGCATGTCTGAGGTCTCTGCATGATCTGAGCATCATGAATGAAATTTTGCACTAATTCCTTTCTCTTCTCACAGGGTTCGATTTCCTCCCTTGTTTCTAGTTCACATCAACTTTAGTTTGTCAAATAGTCAAATACAGCAAATTATGATTACTGGAAAGAACTAGCCTGCCTCTAAATCATAAAGATGAATTACATGGTTTGGAGCAACAACAGTTCTTCTGGTTTAAATGCCATCCTATATGGTAGTTGCTACAGATTAGGAAGTGGAGGAAAGAACTGGTTCACAAAGGGAAGTGAGAGCACTAAGACCATTCAGTGATGGCTTATTCAAGATTTGGTTGATATTATGTCTGAATGGCCTATCATTAATTTACATGTAATACAAAAAACAAGAAATACTACTACAAAACATGTATTCATTTGCTATAATTGGTTATGGAATTTAGATGTTTCAATCAGCTGCCTCTTACACAGAACTAAGTTATCCTCCAGAAATAAAAAGACAAAGCTGGACTCGGTCTCTTGCCTTTGAACCATGTTATGACAAGCCACAACATGCCATATTGAAAGCGGGCTTGTTGTCATATGCAAATCTGTTTCTGCTAACAAGCCATGGTTTGTTGACCATGGCAAATAACAATTAGAACCAATTATTTGTTGAAAATTTACGAACTCCAGCTTCTTTAAGCTATAGCTTGCTGTGACCTCTGATTTCACAACAGTTTGTTCCTGACTTGTTCCCCCACTGCTGATTCTGAAACAGGAAAAGAGAAGCAGGTGAACTGAAACAAATCAGTAATAAGGAAGAAAGGCATAGTTTGTTTGCACCCTGCTTGCATGTTGTGCCTTAAGCATCAACACAATACAGTTAATGTAAACAACTACTCACCATGACATGCAAATATACCCAGCAACTGTGGAACTTTGTTCTTTCAAGTAGAAATTTCAGATCCCCAGAAAAAAATTAAGTAAAATTGTTGTTGTGGGTTTTTCGGGCTCTTTGGCCGTGTTCTGAAGGTTGTTCTTCCTAACATTTCGCCAGCCTCTGTGGCCGGCATTTTCAGAGGACAGCACTGTCCTCTGAGCCCGAAAAACCCACAACAACTATTAGATCCCGGCCGTGAAAGTCTTCGCAAATACATTAAGTAAAAGTGTGTTTGAAGATCTCTAGTTAATAACATACCACTGCATATGTCTGCATGAAAAATTTTACATCCATTTTCCAACATAACTTTTGCTTACTTAGGCATAGAAATGCGAGTTACAGCATTCTTCAAAGAATGAATTTTCATAGCTTCTAAACTCTTCCGTAAATTGTCATATGTAGGTTTATAAAAGTATTTGCTCTTTGTAATCTGAAAGCAAGTAAAAGTTAAATGCAGATTAGCCATACTTTATTAAGCACCTTTACAGTTCATAGTAAACATCTAAAAAGTCAAACTGAATTTACCCTAGTAAAAATGTTAAGGACTGCAGTTAGAGCAGGTCCCACAGAACAACTGAGTAAACATGATCATGTAAAGAATCTCTATACTAGATTCAGTATATGTTTCACTTAGCCAGTACTTTATTCTACTTAAAGGCAGTTCATACAAACACACTATTCTATAATTTAGTTATCCGGAATCATTAATATGCTATCAAGTTGATTCCAACTTTTGGTGACTCCCCAAGGATCTTCTAAATATGAAGTACAGTATGTACTCAGAAGTGGTTTAGCAGTCTGTCCCCCTGGTGCTGCTTTGGGACTATGCAGCTTGCCAAAGCTACAGAGTGGTGGGGCACGTAACACACACTGGATGAATTCAACTGGTCCCTCTGTCAGAAGACACATTGAAGGTTTAAACTCCCAACCCCTAGATTTGCAACCAAGCACTTCAATCTGCTGAGCTATACAGTTTTCCAAACAAATATATGGCAGTATTTGCTATGATTAAAAAATTCAAGTTGAAATCTAGAACAGAGTTGCAAATCAGACCAATGTTCACAAACAAACAGCAGCATAATAAATGCCATAAAAACATTAAACATAGTATTTACAACTTGACAAAATACCATTTCAAACTAAGCATTTGGATCTGAGAATCATCATCATTTTTGAGGATATATAAAGATACAAAGTGTTTTTAGTTATAAAACTGTAAGCATAACTATTTCTATCAAAATGCACTTTATATCTGTTCTGGAAGAACTCATCACACAGACTACGACAACTATATTTCAGATTACAAATACAACTCAGAGAAGGAAGCAAATGTTCTACCGCATAAGTGTTTAGGAAATTATGACTCAAAAACTCAGATATGATTCTGCTAGATGTGTGCCAATGGGACTTCCTGTCCTGTACATATGGAATATATATGGAATACCAAAATGGGGTGTACCTCTATGTATAATGACAATAAAATACAGTAAGAAACATGACATTTTATTCTTCATCAGTCTTCTACAATTCACCATTCATCTTAAGAAAGGCATGTCAAGAAAATGTACATTCAAATCATAAACATATTTTTATTTAGAAGAATTCCATTAACTTTCATTAAGTTTTTCTTCATCGTGATTAGCTTGAATTTGAAATGCAAACCTCAGATTACCACATCCTTGAGGCACTGAATATTTTCTAGTAAGACTTCAAGCACATCCACTAGTTGTAATAATAATACTTGATTGTACACAGTACTTGAGATTTGCTAGCTAGAACAGAACAATATCCATGTAGTGGATAGAGCAATAGGCTAGGACTTTGTTGGCCTGGGTTTGAATCCCTGCTCCCCCACAGAAACTCATTGGAGGAGTGAAAATGGGAAAACCACTCCTTAAATATCTTACTTTGAAATCCCTATTAGGGTTGCTACAAGTTGGTTACAATCTGACAGCACATAAAAGCAAATATAGCACCAATGTTGTTACACGAAAGATCTACGTAAGTAGGAACTGTTATTGCAGTAAGATTAGTTTATAAAGATGAGGCAAGTCTGATTCACAAAATACACATGAAAATGCAAAAATGTAATTTTGCATGCATTCCCTGCTAGAAACAGCCTATATTTCTGAACTTATACCACATACTGTATCCCCTTACCAGATAGTACACATATCGATCATCCCTCTTCAAAATAGCCACATCTCCAGTCTTCTTTTCTAAGATAGTAGGAAAATAACTAATGTTAAACTAATGCATTGCTGATGCTCTAAAACACTGTAGAAATGAACATTTTCCAAAACCTTCCAAATTATTTTATGAAACTGTTGCAGCAAAAAACTGTTCTTTTCAGGCAATCAGGTGCAACTCTATACAAGTATGCATAGACAAGTAATAATCTACCCAACCAGCTTGCAGAAAATCTAAAAATGATGTCGTTGGGGAAAACATGGAATGTTTGTGTGCATGGTTTAGATTAGTGCAGCGATATACAAACCAGTAGCTTCAAAGCTAGAAAAGCCAACCACACCAATGCTCATACGATTCATTCTAAAAACTGGATCATGATCCAAATTTGAATAAGGCAGTGTTCTCTACGTTAGCATATACTGTAGACCAGATTATTACTGAATGAGTTGACATCAAGAAAATATACCAAAATGCTAATATACCAACTCAAAATATACAAAAATGCACAACATATTTCACAAAACACACACATTCAAATATTAAACCTGAAACTCGTGGCATACTGATGGATTTATGCGCTGTCAGTACATTCCTTTGAAGTTAAGGACAGAGGAAGGTTAGTATTGTGTGGTTCCTGCACCTCTTGCTAAATATACCATTTCTGGATGACTCAAGACCTGCAACTGTTTTTGACCCTCAAGTTCAGGCTGTTTTGGTGATTTGTAATCCAGATAAGGAACATGTAAAGGCAGAAAGAGGGCAAATATTTCAATATGCAGATGGATATGTAGCATGTTCTGTGTATGCAACTTTAGTTGCTCAAAAAGAAGCAGCTGCTGCTATTGGGCAGAGGATAACAACTATATGCCTATCTTATAAAGACAACAGCTCATACACTCACATGATGTCAGCTGGGTCACAAGCTCACTAGCACTCCAAATCATTTGAAGGCCAACAAATACTGGAACCTGGAGTAGTCTTCCACTGACATAATTAACTGATTAAACCTAAGTAAATTTGAAACTATCCACCAATATGCATACAGTATAAAAGTCAATAGAAATCCTCATATACACATAAATACATTTGTCTATAAGATTTGAAACTTGGCCTTTATTGCCAGAATAATCAGTAATATTTCTGATTTCAAAAGTTCAATATGAGGGTTGCGAATAGTACAGTATTTTATACTCCTTAAGGATCTGATTTCAAAAGTTCAATATGAGGGTTGCAAATAGTATTTTATACTCAAGGACGACACAATCCTCAATGGGAGACAATTCTGACACCAAGATTACGGAAATCATTTGATTTTAGTAAACACATATTTCACTATATTTAATCCAATTTTTCTTGTTGTTTAGTTGTTAACTTGTGTCTGGCTCTTCATGACCCCACAGACCAGAGCATACCAGGCCCTCCTGCCTTCCACTACCTCCTGGAGTTGGTTCAAATTTTTGTTCGTAACTTCAATGACACTGTCCAACCATTTTGTCTTCTGTCGGCCCTTTCTCCTCTTGCCTTCACACTTTCCCAACAGCAGGGTCTTTTCCAGGGAGTCTTCTCATGAGATGGCCAAAGTATTGGAGCTTCAGGATCTGTCCTTCCGATGACCACTTAGGGTTGATTTCCTTCAGAACGGATAGGTTTATTCTCCTTGCAGTCCAGGAAACTCTCAAGAGCCTCCTCCAGCACAATTCAAAAGCAATGTAATCCAATACCGTTAGGTAATTTGACAATGATACATAAATTTGAATGTTACTTTTTACTTTATAAATTGCTCTAGCTTGCCAGTGCCACTTACGTTGGTTTAAGAGCTCCTGAACACCACCAAACTTCTTCTTAAAAACTGCAGCTATGCCAGCACTCATGTGACAGTCCTCACTGATACAGTGAGCCAAGGAATCTGTTCCAGGACAAGTAAAAAGATCTCCCTGCATGTACTTAATCTGATTTAAAAACAAAAAAGGTAAGGAATGAGGCAAAAAGCAGTTGAGTTACAACACGCTTTAAAACACCAACAGCTTCAATTAAAAGGGGATTCTGAATAAAATGAACACATTCATTCAGAAATAAGACCCAATGGATAGACTAGGACAACAGGGATGGCCAACATCATACAGCGAGTTACAATTAGAGTAGGCCCATTTAGATAAATGGAACTTACATAGGGGGTTTACTCACTAAATCCCTATTGATTCCATGGGGTTACTCCTTTGCAATTTACTAAGCTAAGCAACAGGATTTGGTCACTGAATCTATGTGCCTTAGGTCTAGACATCTTGCCCACTTTGCCATTTTGTCCATAAGTTGGAACTTATAACAACCCTAACAAGGCTTTCAAGGTGAGATATTTAGGTGAGGGTTTACTTGTTCCAACCACCACTCCATGGCTGAGTGAGGATTCAAGCCCAGGGCTACTGGGTTCTAGTTCACTATCGACTATATTAGGTACAATTTGAAAATACAGGTATCAAAGTCACACACACAAAAAAAATAGAGAAGTATATACAAGTGCCTGACCTCAGTTGAAAGACAATTCCACAGGAGGGGAATCAATTCACTAAATGTCCTTTTCATAGAGAAAACCAAACAGCTCTCAGATTATGTGAAAACAACTGGAGAGCCTTCCTAGAAGATCTCAATGATTAGGCAGAATAAGAGGGAATTGTGTGGCTATGTATCCAATCCTAAATTATCTGTGTCCTTCCACAATTACTTTCTGTTAACATTTCGGGAATAAGGAAATTAACCCTTTTTTAGTCCAGTATGTGCATATTGAGACCAACTGCCTTCAAGGAAATACATTATTCAATAAAGAAAAACCTTCTGATAGCTACCTATGAAGGCCAATATAGGATTGACTTTCAGGGGGTTTGTACACATTATGGCAAAATATTAGTTATGCTAGATTTTCTCAGCAATTCAGGGGAAACTGCCAATTGATAAATGAACAATTTTTAAAGTATACAACAAGGTGCCATTTATAGAACTCCATTAGCAGCTTTAGAAGCCAGGGCTTCATGGCTCTTTTAACTGTACCAGAGTAAGGGAAAGAAGCTGAACTTGAGAACTGAGAAGACAGCTTCTACTGTTTTTCAGCAAAGCTACATTAAGCTTTTAACACAAACAGAGCCAGTTTACATACTTTTACAAAAACAAAAGGCAGGATTCTCTGGAAAAGACAATAATGCTGGAAAAGGTAGAAGACAGCAGAAGAAGAGGAACACCAAATACAAGATGAACTGACTCCCCAGCGAAAGCCATAAGCTCGAGTTTACAAGAGCTGAGGAGGGCAGTTGAGGGCAGGATATCACTCATTCATAGGTTCACCATAGGTCTTAAGCGACTTGACAGCACATAACAAGAAACAAAAACAAAAGAAGTTGAGCACTGATAACCAGTAAAACTTGTTTTGCACTACTACAACTCTGAATATCCCTCAGCCAGTAATGGCCAGTGGCCACCCAAGCTTAGGTACTCTGGGACCTGACTGAAAAGATAAAAGAACCCTATCCCCACCCCGCTCATTACTATACATACTGTACTGTATATGGTGTACCAAACCCAAAGAATTCACATAAAGACCCAGCAGGCTTTTATTCACATACTCTTAAGAATAAAACTCATAATCTCTCTCACAGAAAACAAATATCCTAAATTATATCTCCGTGCGTCATAACTGCACGATCGCTAGAAAAAATATCCTGGCTTTTGCAGCGACACCAGTCCCCAACTCCAGGACAATTTAGTTGTAACGAAGTCCACTACGCACCCTTTCTTCTTTTGCAGTCTGGGTGCTGGCCATGATAGCCTGGGAGACCTTTTCGGGATTTCTTCAGATGCAAGGACTAGAAAAGAATGGGACATTTCCATATTGGAAAAATCATTCAAATTTGAATAAAAACGGAAAAACAACAGGGGTGGGGAAAACTGAAAACTCAGTAAATATCGGGGAGCGGCTGACAATACCGTGCGCGTTTTGAGAAACGGGTGAAACTTAAGTCTTTTAATTTAGGGATCTATTTACTGAAAATATTTTTACCCTGCCTTTCTCCTTAAAATGACCCCAGGCGGGTCTATTCTTCTTCACGATATTGCATGCCGGCACCCAAGGGTTTGAACACAATGCATGTGCCTATAACGTCCGGGGATAAAGTTAAACAATACATTATTAAAAGGGCGCCACCTAACTCTGCTTCCAAAAGCAACTCTTTCAGACATCTTCACAACACAACATCGGCTCCCAGCCACCCCCTCCCTCGCAAGAGCCGTCTGTGAGAAAACCAGGGAAGTAACAACACTGCCCACAACGCCAAGAGCGAAACCTTCCTTCTGCTAACTGCCTTCTAAGCCTGTTTTGAAAACCGTGTTTAATTCCCCCCCAAAAGAAAAACACAAAATGGCTGCTACCAACTGTAGGCCTTTCTAGGCAGAAAGCTCTATGGCATCGCCACAGGCATTCACGGTATAAAGGGGGGGCACAAATTACTATCGAAAAAAAGTACCAAAAAAACACCCCTGTTGTGCACATGCGTACACCAAATTTCTGAAGTACAAGGACTGAAAAAGAATAAAAACACTGACTCGATCAGACGACGGAACTAACGGCGCTGGCGCATGCGCACAGACTGTTAAACAGGCGCAAGCTTCGGAGGGAGGAGCTCTCCGGCGGCGCCTGCGCAGGGGCACTCTCGTCTTCTCTTTGTTGGGCTTCGGGGGTTGGGCGCCATTTTGCGCGGCGGCAGAGTGGAGGCGCTGATTGGGTTTCGGGGACCGGTGGCGGAGCCAATCAGAGCGGGACCCGAACCGGGGGAGCAAGCCACGGTGAGTGCGAGCAGCCAATATGGAGCCCCCGAGCGCCGGCCCAAGAGCCGGGATTGGCGGGGCCGAGTGGCCAGTCAGAAGGCCGCGCGCGGGCTAGGGCTGGGCGAGCGCTGGGGCAGCGAGTGGCTGGGGCCCGTTGGAGCTCCGGATCCTATGTCGAGGCGGGGATGGGGGGCTGATGCGGCCGGGGGGAGTCGGGAAGGTCCCCGTCATGGAGCAGTCCCGAGTAGGGTTAGTTAGGATCGTTCCTTGCTCGGCACGGTGACCCTTAGGCCGCCGGGGAAGCCTCTGGGACTTACCCCTGTGTAGACTTGACTAAGAGGTAGAGAACGTGCCGACTATAGGTAGGGAAGCCCACGGGCCGCTCCCTGTAAGAAAGTTGCCTCATGGGGTTGCATTCCTGGAGAGAACTAGTGGCCTCCCTCATAACCCAGTAGTACTAAGCTGTGCCCAAAATGGGGCCCTTCACGTGGCTATTGCTGTCCAGCTAGGTCAGGGTTTTTTATTTCCTTCCAGACTTTATTCAGGACAATTTGAGACCGTACACTCTAATTGAATACCACAGGGGTCAGCATTCAGTGTGAACCTGCCTGTTTCTTTCTTAAATTCCAGCCTGCGGGAGACGGGTACTCTAAAATAAGAAACTGTGTAATAAAGGCTTTTTATGAGCATTCCCATCTTCTTAACTACAAAGGCAACCTCCGTTTTACTCATCCTGTTAGTTGGTATATTTTCATATGCTTGAATCATTAGAAATTGGTCTCACAGGAATATTGCTGTCTGTTATTGAGAATATTGTAGATCTGTAAGAGGAGATGCCTATTGAGGGAGCATAATACTGTATGTTAAAGAATTAGCAAATACAATATGTATACTATGACTCAACCTGAGAAAAATCCCTTTATAAAAGGAAATTGATTTTTCTCTTGCACTTGAATTTAAACATGGTATAGCTGTCAATTTTGTAGTGTGTCTTCATCCCCTTCCCACAGCAAAAGCAAGGTTTGCCCATTAGGTTTGTCTTTAATGCTCTTAAACACATGGTTTAAATACCATGTGCCTTTGTTCACATTTGCCTGAACTGCAAGAGAGAATAAGAATAATGTCTGATTTATACTTGGTGGAGGTGATATAAATCTTTGCTTGAAAGGTTGGTTTTAAATATAAACAGGCAAACAGATCCTTGAAGATGGATGAACCATGTTACCCAAAGCTCTACCAAGAAGAAAGCCTCTGTTGTTTCCCTTATTTTTAAAGTTCCACACCACTCCCCAAGTTACAATGGGAGAGGAATAGTATATGTTTCCAGGACAGTTGTGCATTGTCTCCAATTCCAGAGGTGGGAACAGGGGCAGGGCTATGGGTCCTGGGCATTCCTACAGTCTCCTATGGCTCACAGACTGCCACCGTTCCAGCATCAGAGAAGTCAAGATCATAAAGTGTCAATTATTACTAGAAAAGGACTTGGAGGTCAGAGGTCTCTCCAGTATTGGAGAAGAGGGCCAGAACATTTTACGGCCTTTGGAATGTCCTTTAGGATTGTGGGTATGGCCTCAGTAATAATATAGGGTAGGTATTTATTAGTAAAACAAGAAGTCTTGTGTCATTTAAAGACTAATAAATGCATCATTATTGCTGTGCTGATTATTGAAATAATGTCATGGAGAATGGAAAAAGAACTTTTGGTTACCTGTGAGGTATAATGTGAGGTTGGAAAAGGCTACATATTCTCTGTAATAAATAATAATTGCATGCCGTCAAGGCAGTTCTTATTTATTTTACTGAATTTCTATCCAACCCATCTAGACCAAAGGCCTACTCTGGGCAGCATTACAAATTTAAAAACAGTTTCTGACTTATGGCAACCCTTTTCAGGATTTTCTATATAGAGAATACTCAGAAGTGGTTTACCACTCCCTTCTTCTGGGGGTGCCCTGAGACTCTGCAGGTTGCCCAAGGCCATGGAGACGGCTGTTCTCCCAGGAGGCACAATGGGAATTAACTCTCAACCTCTTTCTCCACAGCTATTCAGCTGTGATATACGTGTCACATGTCTGAAGACAAAACCTTTTTTAAACATGAGTCTGTGAATATTTTAAAGATGCAAATATCTTTAAATTGTAAGCATAATAATTTTGCTGGTATAATAATAATTGAATATCCTGAATATGGAGATAGTTAAAAATCATGAAAGTGTTGTCTTTGTTCTAAGCACTCATGTAGATAGTACAAATGTGATAAACTTACATTTGTGTAAAAAACAACAACATTGGAATTATTCCTAGGCTGTTGAGAAACTGATTTTAATGAGCTACAATTAATGTTGTACAAACTAATATTAGGTTAAGAACCATCTGTGCACACAATGGTAATTGCACAGGCAGTTGGCATCATTTGGATGGTGCTGGTTGCATGAACATTTGCACACCAGACACCCAATCAAAGACTTGCAAAATTGCATTTTGGCAGTATAAGGGGCCTCATAGGTTGTTTTTTGAATGTTCTTTTGTGGTCTGCAGTTACTTCATTAGATAGAAGAGGACAAAAGTCCACTAAAGTTGCAACAAATAAAAGTTGTTAAATTTTAAGGTGTTACAAGGCTTTTTTGTGGTTTTGCTGCAACAGATTAACAGTTAGGTAAAGGTGAAGGTTCCCCTTGACATTTAGTCCAGTTGTGTCCGACTCTAGGGTGCGATGCTCATCCCTGTCTCCAAGCCGTAGAGCCAGTGTTTGTCCGTAGACAGTTTCTGTGGTCACATGGCCAGCACAACTAGACACAGAGTGTCGTTACCTTCCCACTGTGGTGGTACCTATTTATCTGCTTGCATTTACATCTACTGTACTAGCATTTTGAACTGCTAGGTTGGCAGGAGCTGGGACAAGCAACGGGACCTCACTCTGTCACGTGGATTCAGTCTTATGACTGCTGGTCTTCTGACCTTGCAGCACAGAGGTTTCTGCGGTTTAACCCACAGCGACACAGTGTCCCACAGATAAACAGTTATCTTCCCTCAAATGCATATGAATAGTGTTATTCTGTATAAGCATATCAAAACAAAAAATGATTGAGATGTTGTAGCACTTTTAAAGAGTATTATACATTAATGTGAGCTTTTGTGGATCATCAAAAGTGGACTTGATCCACAAAAGCTCACATTGAAATATGTGGCTAGTTTTTAAAATGCTTCAAGGTTCTTTATTCTGTTTTGTTTTTTTCTCTGATCTGAATAGGATTTGTTCTTGTAATGTACAGTCAAGGTCCCACCGATGTATGGTGACCCTGTGAATGAGCAATTTCAAAAATGTCCTGTCCCCAGCTCTCCTGAGCTCCTGCAGAGTCATGGTTATGGCTTCCCTTAAGGAATCAATCCATCTCATATTTGGCCTTTTTTTCCTGCTTCCTTCAACCTTTCTCAGCATGGTTTTTCAAGAGAAACTTGCCTTCCTGTGATGTGCCTAAAGTAGGACAGCCTCAGTTTCATCATCATTTTTTGCCTCCAGAGACAGATAGTTCAGGCTTGTTCATCTTTCCAGCAGTCCAGGGTATTTTGAAAGCCCTCCTCCTAACACCATATTTCAAATGAATCATTTTTTCTTGTAATCTTTTTTACTGTCCAGTTTTCACACCAGTACATGGTGATTGGAAACACAAGATTGTGGATGATCTTGATCTCCAGTGACACATCCTTACACTTGATGATCTTTTCTAATTCCTTCATTGCTGTCCTTCTGAGTCTCAGTCATCTTCTGATTGCTTGGCTGTAGTCTCCATTTGGGTTGATGACAGCCAAGATATACTAAATCTTTAACAATTTCAATTTCTCCATTTTCAGCATTTGTTCATTAATTCATTCATTAACTATTCAACTTTTTTACATCCCATCTGGCTACCAAGGCAACTCTGGGCAGTTCACATTAAGTGTAATGATCTACATAAAAAGCAACATCAAAATAACTAAAACTAATTTTCAAAGGCAAGATGGTGGGACAGATTATATAGGCACTGAGAAGCCTCTGTGCTATGATGGTGTGATTTCCGGGGAAGGCTGTCCAAAGAGCCATGTTTTCAAAAATCATTTAAAATTCCCAGTGAAGGGCCAGGTGAATTTCAGGTGAGATATCACATTTTTCTGTGTATGAAATGACACTTTTTCCTAAAATAATTAGGAAAATTGAGGGTCGTTTTATACACGGAAGGAGGCAGAGGCAAAGGAGCACTTGCACGTGCGCTTGGGTGCCTCATCCAGGGCTCATGGCTTGTCCCCTCCGGTGGTGGAGGCGGCAGCAGGAAGCGGAGGCAAAGGAGCATTCACACGCTCTTGGGCACCTCTTGCTGCTCCCTTTCCCGTCCACCCAATCACCTCCTCCAGTGGGACTGACGGGGTTCACCTCCAGCTCAGTCCTCCTTGTCCTCTCTGGAGGCAGAGGCAGCAGGAGGCGGAGACAAAGCAGTTGCACTGGAGCAGGAGAGACAGAGGTGGAGGAGCAGTTGCCCATTAACTGCTCCTCCGCCTCCAGCAAGGGTCAAAATTAGGGGGTTGTTTTATACATTGAGGGGGGCATATACACAGAAAAATACAGTACTATCCAGAGGTGGGGGCGACCACTGAGAAGGCCCGGTTTCTGGTCTCTTTCCAGGCCTCCCTTTGGGTCAGTGCTCTCAACCAGCCAACCTGGGAAGATCGAGTAGATCCATCAGATCTCACTGGAAGGAGGTTTTCTGCCAGGTTTCAAGGTTCCAGACAGTTGAGGGCCTTGTATGTCAGCATCATCATGGAAACCAACAGGTAGTCAGTGCACTAGGTGGCCAGGGTAGGGGAGATACGATGGTATTTCTTCTCTCACTAGTTTTGCCACCATATTCTGGGACTGTTGATATTTCTGTAGCAGCCTCAGGGCAGCCCCACATAAAGAGCATCACAGTAGTCTAATTTCACTTCTGCCATATTTTCTTTAATTTAAAATAATCTTTGCTTTACAAAATTGGTGTCTTCATTTACCTTACCATAGAAAATACAAAAAATGATGCAGTTCTTACTGCTGTGTTGCATACATACACTTGTACAGATAGAAAGAAGTTGATTTGAATTGTATGTTTTAAAATTCTGAAAATCTGAGGTTAAAAGTCCCCATTTTAAGATTTGTTCTTTTAACAATTTAAACCTGAAGTATTCCCACTTCATTCCATGTTGTAAGTCCAAGGAGCAGTCTAAGAAGCTTCAAAACAAACCGCCAGTGTGGCTCCAAGTACATACTATTTAAGGCCTCAGAATGCCATCCCAACTTTCCCTCTAATTTTCAGCCCCCTGAAAGTAAGTAAAAGGGATTCACATATGCCACATTGTATCCCCATTGAGAAAGGGGAAAAGGCAGAATATTTTTTGCCCTTTTTGGGCATCTGTGATTGCTCTAAAAGCCAGATCATTTTAAATTAAATCAAATTGAATTAAATCATGATTCAAATTTTTAAAAATTAAATAATTTAACTTATGGTTTAAATTATGATTTCAGTCAATTTGATTTTTAAAAATGTTGATTTTTCCCCCACCCTGACTGAAAGGGATAGTTCAGTTAGCACCATCAAAACAATTATTATATATCACATGAAATAAACAGTATGTCTCTGTAGAGGTTCAGATGATCTATAGGGAATAAAAATTATCCATTCAGTCATATCCAACCCTTGATTTCATGAGCCAGCTCTCTCTATGATTTCTGATCTTGTACAGCTTCTTTCAGCTGATTTATATTTTGGGCAGTATCTGCTTTGATTACATCCAGCCAATGCATTCTTTGGTCTCCTTGTTGTCTTTTACCACTGACCATTCCGAGCATAATGCCTTTCTAAAATGATGTTGATCATATGACATGGCCAAAATAAATAAGTCTTAAATTTTGTTATTTTGGTTTCCAGAGCCTCCTCCAACACTATGGCTCAAAAGAATCCATTATCCTTCTGTCCATCTTCTTCACCATCCAACTTTGACAGCCATATGTAGTTATGGAGAACACAATGATGCAAACTAATCAGCACTTGGTTGTCAAGCTCACATCCTTACTTTTCCATATTTGATTCATTCTCCCAATTGCTGTGCAACATGGCATGATTTGACATTTTGTTTCTTCGTTGCAATGCCCATTTTGATTGACCAGTGAACCTAAAAAGATGGATTCTTCCACACATTCAACCTCTTTTCCACCAATTAGTATTTTGAAGTTTCAATTCTTTGCAGTTGTAATGAGTTTCATCTTTTTAATATTCAAAAAGAGGCCAAACATGTCACTTTCTTCTTTGAGTTTCATGATCAGGTACTTTAGACCTTCTTGGGTTTCTGAGAGGTGAGTTGTATCGTCTGCATATCGAAGATTATTGATGTTTCTTCCACCAATTTGTACCCTAATTTTTGATTCTTCTAACTCCAGCATTCTGATTATCACTTCAGCATGCAAGGTGAGTAAGAAAGGTGACAAGATGCAACCTTGCTGCACACCTTTCTCAATCTTAAACCAGTCAGTGTCTCCATATTGAGTTCGTACAGTGGCTTCCTGATTTTCATACAGTGATTTCACCAACTTCACCAAATGTAGTGGCATCCTAAGGTCTTCTAGGGCTCTCCATAGTTTGTGATAGTCAACATATTTGAAAGTTTTCTTATAATTGATGAAGCACATGTATATGTTCTTTTTATGTTTATAACAGTTTTCCATTATCCATCGAACATTTGCAATGTGATCATGAGTACCACAACCCTGACGGAAACCAGCTTGGACATCTGGCAGTTCCCTTTCAGTGTTTGGTGCCAGGCATTGTTGTAAAATTTTCAGTAAAATCTACTACCGGTAGCATGAGAGATGAGAGTAATTGTGCGGTAGTTAGAACAATCCTTTGAATCCCCCTCTTTTGGTAATGGAATAAACACTGATTGTTTCCAGTGTGATTGTGGCCATATGTTGGTTTCCCAAATGTTTTGACACAACACTTTTAATAGTTGATGTTGGTACTGCTCAGTAATTCTACAGGGATGTTATCAACATCTGGAACTTTGTTATTTGGCAGTTGTTTCACTGCCCACATGACCTCATCATCAAGTATAGCTGATTCTGGTTCTATTTCCTTCCCCTCCTTGGTTTGATGTTGCCCCTCTTTGTTGGTTGCATACAGTTATGCTGCATATTCTTGCCATCTGTTCTTGACAGCTTGTTGGCTGGACAATTCTTTCCCTTACTTATCCTTGATATCTTTGCAAGCCATGAACAGCACTCAAATCTTTTTAATTTTTGCAAATGCATTCCTTGTGTATCCTTTTCTACAGTCTTCTTCTAATTGTATACAGTGCTTCTCCCAGTAAACTTCTGTATATCCAAAATAAAAAAAATGAGATCTTTCAATCTCTGGGTCCATTTAACTAAAAAAATGTACTTCTCAATTTAAGAAAGATCAGCCTGCATTTCTAGAATACCCTTAGCACAGATACGTTTACTATTTATGTTGCTTAGTATACAGGATTTTCAAAATGTATTTTTTAGATATACTAAATATTTCTTAATTATGTAACTCTTGAAAGAAAAGAGAGAGACTCTTAAGATAGTGGGGTTTTTCAGCAACTATAAATTAATTCCAATCACAATAATTGATGATGAAACTAATATCCTCTTTTCTTTTAAGGTTTCCAGTTGAAGATTGGATAATAGCATTTGAACACTATGGAGCAGTATACAGCAAACAGCAACAGCTCAACGGAACAGATAGTTGTGCAAGCTGGACAAATTCAGCAACAGGTATAGTAAATTGCTTGAGATGACAAATTCAAGCCATTGATTTATAACTTCAGTTTTAAAGCCAAGAAACTAGACAAATTCTTTATTGATTATGATTTGATTCAGAGATCCTTTCAATCCATAATTTTTTAGAAACTCAAGATATATTTTTTACATTTTAAAATCATACATAATTTCTACTGATAGAATATATTGTATTTTTACAGATTGTAATTGCCCTTTCTTTAGTTCTCATTCTCTTCAGCAGTATCTAAGCCAATATGAAGTTGCATAGTAGTCATTGGGGAGAAGAAATATCTTGAAATTCCTTCATACTAAAAAAATGTTTAGCTGAATTATGCAGGCTAAGTAATGTTCCTGATTTTTTTTGCTGCAATTTTAGTAGCATTTTAGCCATTTATCCTGTTGGTGTTTCAGTAATTTATTCAGAAGAGGTACTAATTATGCCTTGACATTCTTAACGGTTCTTTTTGTGAAGAAGTATAAAGGTCAAATCTTATAACATAGTAATGTAGTGGCTAAGAGCACAAACTGATGTAGGTAAGAAGTGTTAATTTATTTCCTGTTGTTTTCCTTCATCCATGTTTTCTTGTATTAGTTTATGTTGCTGATCAAAGACCTAATAACATTTTGTAAACCTTGTATTTATTCAGGCATAATTAAATGACAGCGCATTCACATTTGTTCTTTAATTGTTCAGATGTTTCTATTCACTGGTATATTTTTGTTGTTCTCCTCATGTAACCCAAAAATTATGATTAAGAGATTTCAGTAGTTTCCAGATATCAACAACAGTATACTATTTTCTTTTTCTGTTACTATTTCTCAGACCAACCATTGGTGGGCTTATTACTTGCGGACCAGATAGTTCCCTTTCATAGAGCCCACTGTCCTCACAGCAGTAAAGATGTTTCTTATCTTGAGCTCTTCCTTTCCTCCTACAAAGTTTCAAGCTTTCCTATTCCTGTTCCCAGCAGCAGGGCGGTGTCACTGCTGTCCAGTTGCAGACTGAGGCTCAGGTGGCATCTGCCTCAGGCCAGCAAGTCCAGACCCTCCAGGTAGTGGTGATCTATCTGTCGTATTTGCGTGAGCACTGCATGAATCACCCCATCACCTCATGTCCGATACTGTGTTTGAGGGCTTGAAGTCGGAAGAGAAAATAGAGAGGCAGATTTAATTGCAGATGGATAACAGTCAAATTTACAATAACAAAGGAGCTGGTCTCCCAGTTAAAAATGCATGCCACAAACCCAGTTGCAGAAAGCATTCTCTTACTGCAAACATGAAGATAAATAATCAAGAAGGGTGTGAGGAGAAGAAAGCTATAGACTTGTGAGCTATTCATTATGGCCTATGTTTGTTTATTTTGTATTTATTTATTTACTTAATTTCTATACCACCCATCTGGCAACCCAGGCTCATCTCAGCGATTTACACAATACAATAAAACAATATAATGTAAAGCAAAAAAAATCCTCTAACTTTGCAAGAAAATCAATACAACTATAATAAATGTTTGAAGGATAATGCGTTTCTTTCTGTTTAGGGAGGAAAAGTTAAGGGTTATTTCATAATCATGCCTGAGCAGCCATCAGGATAATTTATAAATTAATTTATAAATTAAAACTTAAAAATACAAAATGTGTTGCGTGGAAATATTTCAGACTCCAATTTGCATTCTTGTGAAATGATGAATTTAAGTTGTGAACAGCGTCTATTTAGATAAGTTGTGCCAGGTCATTCAAGAACATTTTTCCCCACTTCACCCCCATCAAATAGTGGCTGTCATGAGGTACATTAACCTTCATCTCTTCGTATCAGGAAAAGTTTGTATGTTGGCTGTTTTTGGCTTACTTTACCTTTTTTTTTTCCTTGCCAAACTTTGCTTTTTTTTAATGAAATTGCTTGCTTGCAGTGTATTGATTTAGCTTAGATTTTTGCATTGTGTTCATCTTCATCTCTTCTGTCTGTACTTCTAAGCACTTTGGAAAATATTTGATTGTTTAGTAAGTGCATTTTGACAGATTTGCAGTTAACAAAGCAAATGAGGGTTCAGAGCACATTGCTAGTGTTACTCAGTTAAATAGCTTCCTTCTTCATTCTGCTGCTTCCTGGTAGCACAGGGTCTTCTAGCAAATATTGCACTTAGTTGAGGTTTAAAGATAGTGTTCTTTCCACCTCCCAGTCAACCTATCTCAACAAAAAGTCATAAAAAGTTATTTTCCTTCTATTCTGCCCTGTGTCCCTGCCCTGCTTTGCATGGAAACTGATGAGCTGAAATGTACCTGGAATAAAGAACAGAATGGACTGGTTAGCTTTTTCCTTTACATCTCATCACCATTGTCATCTGAGTTCCCTGATGCAAAGATTCTAGATGCCGTCTTTCATTGCTGCTTTCCTTTTCTCAAAATAAAGAAGAGAGGTTAAAATATTCCTTTTTGCTTTGTTTTGTAAAGCTCTCCCTTTCCTTCCTTCTTACTATCGTAGCCGAGGATAGAATTTCATTATGAAGAATGCTGAATTCCTGCTGAAAACAGTGAAATGGGCTTAGCTTGTAAAAGCTTTTGTGCAACATCTGTTAATATCAATATAGTTATTGAGCTAGTAAAATATAAAAGCAGAATGTGGATTTTGAGATATGTATATTTTGAGATATGTATATGATCAGTGTAGTTATTAGTATTTTTTTTCTTTCTCTTAGACTTCACGTTGTTAAGTGGTTACTGCAAGTTCTTGCCTGTGAGAATGCATGAAACAATGCCTTTGCTGCTCCATTTTGCCTTTCTGCACAATGACTGAATTAGTCATTCTTGATTCCTCGTTCTGGTGACGTAACAGACATCTATTTCATTGTGGTTCTCTTACTTTTTATTCTTTAGGTCCAGGGTCAGCCTCTGATGGTCCAAGTGAGTGGAGGCCAGCTTATCACATCAACAGGCCAGCCAATTATGGTACAGGCTGTACCTGGGAGTCAAGGTCAAACCATTATGCAAGTCCCAGTTTCAGGATCACAAGGGCTTCAGCAGGTCAATATGCCAGAAATTCATGAACTGTAGATATTAATGTATAAGCCAGGAGTGACTAGCCTACTTCCCCAGGAAAGGTTGCAGAAAGGACATAACAGAGGAAGCCATCCTGTTTTTTTATCCCGATCATTGGCTATTCAGAAGTAGCATGGGATGTTTGTAGGGAGGTTGTCAGCCACCACTTTGCCCTATAGGACTTTGCTCCTAGTAGAGCAAGCAGATAAAAATTGTTTTTTGACTCAACTGTGAGTTCTTTTTGTCTTACTCCTATCCCCGTGATGGGATAATATAATGCTCAATTTTCCACAATTCTATACTAAGGAAGGGACAAATGGTTCTCAAGAAGAAATCAAAATTATCCTACCACATTCTTACTGTGAGAAATATGATATTGCACATTTTATGCATGTTATTTAGAAATGGGGCAGAAAGAGCTCTTTTTTATATTCCACCCATACAGACTAAAATAAATGATGAAAAGTGGAAGGAAAGACAAACCTCCCTTTGGTCTTCGGTTTAGTCTTTGTCAATGATGAAATGCCACTTCTTAGATATGGTCTTACTTGTAAATTCTCTGAGCATAATTAGATGATGCAAAGATTAGCTATAAAATAGATATGTTGGATTTTAACACAACCCCCAATTCATCTTTCCACAGATTCAGTTGGTCCAGCCAGGTCAGATTCAGATTCAGGGTGGTCAAGCTGTACAAGTCCAAGGTCAGCAGGGGCAGACACAACAAATCATCATCCAGCAACCCCAGACTGCAGTTACTGCTGGCCAAACACAGGTAGTGTATGAAGGAAGGGAGGAAATATTCGGGGGACGATAAGGGGCCAAAATGAAAGTAAATGTACTGTTGGGCGGGTTTTAGCACAGATGTGCATTTAAGAAGCCCAAATATGATAGATCAGTAGTATTGCTGAATATTTCATCTTATGTATTTGCAGACCCAGCCACAAATTGCAGTTCAGGGGCAGCAAGTAGCCCAGACTGCAGAGGGCCAGACCATTGTCTATCAACCAGTGAATGCTGATGGAACAATTCTTCAACAAGGTATGGATTTTCCTTGCCACTGGCTCTTGTTGCATTTTCTAAGATAATATTGACTATTTGCAAAAAAATATACTTTTGTGTGTGTGCGTGCGTGCGTGCGCACGCGCATTGAGCCTTTACAGTGACAGAGTATGGCATTGAGATTAATGTTGAGTATTTGTAATCCTGTTTTGTTAGAATTAGAGATTCTTGGTGCTGTGATACATGTTTATAGCACATTTGTTTAGTGATGATGGCGTTGGTGCCATTATTAATGAGTATCTAGTGTTTATCCTATGGTGGCTATATTGTGATTTCCTACATGAAATGCAGAGCGTCAGATTTAATGAAATACCACCACATTTATTTTTCATACTGAGAACTGCATGTTCTGAGATTTCACTAAAACCTAAAGAACTGTGTTAAGCAGTAAGAGATGTGTGATAAATTATCACATGTAGACCAGAAGAAATATGCTTCATAGACTGCAGTGATATTGGTGAAATAATGGCTGTTGGAAATACCATTTACAAAATACAATCAGTGGCAGAATTTTATGTAGTGGAGATTGAAGTACACGTCACACAGCAAGGATTAATGAACAAACTTGGATGTAATCTTTGGCCGCTTTTGTGTGCACTTTTAATTTTTTAGAAAAATATGTGTTTTTAAAGACACTAACAGTCTGGAGAGAAAGAGAAAGTTAGATTCAGTAATGTCCAGTTATTTGCATGTTGACTTTTTTGATTAACGCTTCATTTTGGATAATTTTGGAGACCTGGAAACAGCCATTTAATGCACACTGTCAACCACAAGGGGGTGCTTCTGGTTTTTCCCACCATAGATTCTTGCATGTTCTCACATTTATCTAGAGCCATGTGGGGTTCAAAATCCTTCTTGAAAGGAAGGGTGAAAGGTTCTAAAAGCTGAGAGTCACAGAATGCAGGAATATTACAAATTTTAGGCTGCAGTTTAAAAGTGAAACATATGCATATCTGGATGTAAATTATTCTTGTGTTCTACACTTCACTAAGACGTAAGCTGCTAAATGTGGTTTTTTTAAATTGTCTGCAGCTACTAGAAAGGAAACGACAATTTTTGCCTTGAGTTGTAATATTGCTCTTTCATGCTGCCTTACCTACAAAACAATTGGCAAAATCTTGAAGTCTCTGCTGATTTGGCCCTGTTTGGGGTGTGCCTCTTTAATATGGCTGTGGCATTTTCTGTAGAGAGTTTTCCAAAAATCTCTTTTCGAAAAGGCTATAGCATATTTCAGGGCAGAGTGGGTAGATGCTGAAGTGGGACTAATTATGTTCCCTTCATTTTCTGTGTACGTGTTCGTTTTTGTTTTTGTTTTTTAAAGTTACAGTCCCTGTTACAGGCATGATCACCATCCCAGCAGCCAGCTTGGCTGGAGCACAGATAGTTCAGACTGGCGCCAACACCAACACAACCAGCAGTGGACAAGGAACTGTAACGGTGACGCTGCCTGTTGCTGGAAATGTGGTTAATTCTGGTGGGATGGTCATGGTGTGTATTAAATTTTTTCTAATATTCCTTTAATCCTGCTGGGTTTTTCTTGGTCAGTTTCGTTTTCTCATAGATAATGCAGTTAGTGATCTGTGTTTACAGTGATATCCCTGATCTTTGCAAAAAAACCAATGTATGCTTTAAATTTTGTGAATGCTAGAACTGCCATATGCTTTTATGCCAAATTCTGTTATGTTAATTGAAGAATGCATAGCTTTAGTAATTTTTTTGCTAGGAATTCTTTTGCTTTGAAAAAACCCAGCCCTATTATATTTACAAATTCTATATTTTATATTTTGTGTACTGTTTCTTCTGAGAGATACCTTAATTTAATCAAGGTTCTTCTTTGCTTTAATACAGATGGTCCCTGGTGCTGGATCAGTGCCAGCTATCCAAAGGATACCTTTGCCTGGAGCTGAGATGCTTGAAGAGGAACCCTTATATGTGAATGCTAAACAGTACCATCGGATTCTGAAGAGGAGACAAGCAAGAGCCAAGCTGGAAGCAGAAGGAAAGATTCCTAAAGAGAGGAGGGTGGGTTTGTAATCTACTGTTCCCTGTAGAGAGAATGTGATGTATGCTTGTGATGTATCCTTGGAATTTCTTTTATTCCTGTTGTAACAGAAATTCGAGCCTTCCATAGAATGCAGGAATAAACAATTGGTCTGGAAAGCCTAAGCTTGCAGTCAGAAAAAGAGGTGAATTTCCTGAGATATACAGAAGGGAACATGATGTATCTTTAAAGTGTCATACCATGCACTAACTAGTAACAAGCTCAACTGAAAAGACAGAGGGTGATCTGATTCAGTTCCAAGGTGACTGTGATCAAATCCTCAAAGACAAATATAGTTGTAGGTATTATGAATTTTCATTATAGAGATTTGGATGTTATCAGTGGCACAAAAAGTAACTCAAGGAAGTAATGCTCAGTTGATTTGCCTTTTTCCTGTTAAAGGAAAAAGCAATTGCTTCAGCATTGCTTCACCAGTATTCTCTTGAGGGCCATCTGCCAGTGGTAGGAGATAGTTAAGCCAATGTTGGACAGAGCCAAAAGTACAAATCAGCAAAACAACCCTTTGTTTTCTTTTCATTTCCACCACTTCCCTCCTGTCTCCACCCTCCCTTTCTCTAGCTCTTCTTCCCCACCTCACCTTGCAGATCCTAATGTACTTTTCTCATCTACAGAAATATCTACATGAGTCCCGACACCGACATGCCATGGCAAGAAAGCGAGGAGAAGGTGGACGTTTTTTTTCACCAAAAGAAAAAGATATGCAGGTCAGTGAAATTTCCTTTTTAATTTTTGTTTTGAGTTTTAACTGGTGTTTCTAAAAATAAGCTGTCAATTTATGACAAAGTCAGCTGAAAATAAACTCAAAACATCTGCCCTTCCCCTCTTGCTATTCTAAACTTGCAGACCTGGTAGATGCCATCTTACATTACACAATCAAACTTTCTTTTTTCTCAGCAAAATCTTCATTTAATCTCCCCTCTGTTCCACAGTTCAGAGGCAAGCTAGAACTGCCCACTGGAAGGTGTAGCCTTGTTTGCTGAAATCTAAAGAATAAACTTCTGCAGATCATGTCCAATAATGCTCCTCCATGTATGACATCATTGACCATATAAGTGCAAGGACTACTAACCGGGAATAGCAAAGCAAAAGAAACTTTGGGGGTTATTTTAAGTTTTTCCATTGCTCTTTTGGTCATTAGCAGACTCTGTTATTCTAAGCTTACTGGCAGATGTTAGAAATTATCTTGAGTCTTGCTATTCCAAATAGGAATTATAACACAATACCTTCACATTATGAGGATGCTTCTGTGAAGCACACAGGAGCTTTAATTCTAGCACACAGGGGTGAGCATACCTTTTCCCCTGGACATGAACATGTCCAGTTAATGTGCCCATGTGTACAGTTCCTAAACCACTGCAGCATTTGCCAGTGATTTGAGAATTTTATGCATGGACACATGAACTGGATGTGCAGACACAGATGTATGCACAAGCATTCTTCACATACACCCACATCTTGGCACACATGGGTGGATTAGTTTAAACTGCCTTTTCCTGTACAGGGAAGGACCAATAATGTTTCCAGAATCATGCCAGTGCACTTGATGCAATCCTACTTTCACAGGCTACCTCTAGCAGGGGGTGGGGTGGGCATACCCCTTAGTAGGCAGAAATCAAGTTCCTTCCAGAATCCCAACACAGCTGTTATTCGTTTAGGTGGAACACAATGAACATAGAGATGGGGTCACCTCAGAAAGGAGTCGGCATATCTGCCCACCCCACTCCCAGAACCTTGAACAAGGTTATCGTTTTTCTCCTCCTATCATCTTTCTCAAGATCACCATGGAAGAGGCAAAATTCAAGCACTTCCACCCACAGCACTCTTGATCAAGATCGCTGTTTCACGATCATCTCTTTCCTGCACCAAGATCATAGTTAAGCAGTAGTGGAAAATAGCTGGCAGGTGAAAAACATTGTGACACCTTAAAGACTAATTGCTGTACGTTACTCTGAGCTTTCTTGGACAAGTCAGAAGTGGACGTGTCCACTAAAGTTCACATTAAGATACAACACTAAGCCCTTTAGGTATCACAACACTTGTGTCTTCTTTATTTTTTATGTTTCTTTTAATTCTGCCTGACATGCTAACAGAAACTAAGATGGCTACTTTTTCAAAAACTAGCTGGGAGGTGGCTTTCAGGATAGCTGGTAAATGCCACAGATAGAATTAATGTTTGGTGGGCCAATGGCCATTGTTTGTATTTAGAGTTTGTGGATAATGAGACTTCTTTTCCCCTACACAGGATCCTAGCCAGGCAAACGAAGAAGCAATGACACAGATGATATTAGTATCCTAACAGCCAACTAAAGAGCAAAGCACCTGGACAGATACTTTGCCATATGTTCAGCCTGTTCTCTTTTTTAGAACAAATACTACACTCTCAGTGAGTAATTCATTCTGTGATTTTAACTGCAATGCTCTCAGTAAACAGAAACAACTGTGGATTTTTGTTATTTTCCTACCTAAGCCAGACTAAGGAGCTGAAAAGTCTGGCTCAGAAGACTTTGAACATCCTGGACAGTAATTGTGGCTCAGCTTGAAAATGGCCATTGCTTCAGCAATAACTGACATGTTGTTTTGGAAGCTATGACTCTTGAACCACCCAGGAATGCAGACATTTGGAGCAGTCAGGACTGACATGGTTTTGTTTTCTCAGTGTAGCTTTTTTGGTTTCAAATGTACCACACAGCTTCAGTTTTCATATTTTTGACAGCACAATTATCCACTGCAGAAGCACCTAAAATTCTACAAGATGCTGCACTTCCTTCTGAAAGACTGGCTTGTTTGGAAAAAATCTTGTACTCTCTCCAGAGTTTTGGGAAAGCTGTAAGACACGAAGTGATGCATGCATGCGCTGTAGAATAGCAAGGAGATTTCATAATGGCACAGAATATGGCCATTGATGGGGAGAATGGGCTGGTGTTGAGACTCGCAATGTATGTAGCAGCTGAAATGTTGCTTCGTTCTGTAAAGTTTGCTGATTTCCTCTTCATGCAAGATCATAGATTCAGGATGTGATTATTCCCAAATATACACACATTTCCTATCCTTGGCATTGTTTCTCCAAGATCTGAGGATTAGATGCAGTGCTGTGAGTGTTAGTCCAGTTGTAACACTCACATAATTGCCTTAACCAGACGGTAAATTGTTATATTCTGCTGTGACTCAGACAACTTTGTACATGAAAATTAACATGTGGACAACTTTGTACATGAAAATTAACACGTGGAGAGTCCTTTAAGCCTTTATGTGTAGTGATCTTTGTGAATCTATCACTTAACAGTTCTGTGACTGTCATTGTGAAGCCCTGCCCCCCCACCCTTTGTCTCCAGTTTTGTTTGCTTGATGAAAAAGGTAGAACAAAGCATTATTTTTGCAGCCTAGCTCAGTAGTTCAGAATTGGAAGTTAGACCTGAGATGTTTTATGGCAAGTATCACTTTGCTGCTTTTCTACCTGTGCATTACTCATAAAAGTAATTATATGAGTTTCAGTTTTCATTTTATTCCACACTTCATTTAGTAAGCAGGAGAGTGGAAGGATTACCGCATGCCCATCATTTGACAATGTTGAAAACCATAACAGAGGGGAGAGGTGCATAGAGAGGAAGGTGCCTGAATATTGACCATTGAATTTTGAAAAGGGGTTTTGTAGCTTCAGAACAGGAACCATTGTTGTGTGATAGTTGTTTCCGATGGAAGAAGCAGAAATAATTCCTCCCTTGATCTTGCCATGGCTTGGGGAAAGCCTTCTGTTTCCTTATTTAAATCAGTTCAAAAAGCAGGGCTTGTAAGAGAAAATTAATGGTATAAATCAAAAAGTTCAGCTGATGTACAACAGTCTTGGAAGGCATTTGATGAAAATGACCGTGTGTGAAATTCAGAGGTGCAGTGTTTTAAGAGTTCTAGTCCTCAGCATTGAGCCATTGGAAGGAAAAATATACTGTATATCATTTTGTAGCAGCTACACATTATCTTTAAGCCTATATACAAATGGTCTGTACTTTGTATGTTGGTTTTTTAAAAAAAGAAAGCAATAGCCTTTCTGTTCACTCATCTGCATCTTCAGAATCCTGGATTCCTTTGATAATCTCCATTGCATTTTTCAACTGGGTGTTTCTGAGGCTGAAATCCTCTTGCGCTATTGCAATGGTGTATTTTTTAGAGGTGAATTACCATACTTTAAGAAATCTGCATAGGCACTGTCTCCTGCATGCAGAGCTGCACAACTCAATATGCAGCAGATAACACCTACAGTGATTACCTGACTTATGACAGTTGGTGTCCCAAAGTTGCACCTTTTGCATAACAGTGCAACAGGATTTCAACCAGTGTCTTCTCTTATTTCTGCTCACTGATCTTCATGATAAGTATTTAACCTAGGGTTTACATGATGGCATTAGGACAAGAACAGTGACTTGTGGAGAGGAGTATAGTTTTTCAGCATTGTTGTAAATATCAAAAGCATTGGTACAGTCAGAATAGCAGTAGGCATGATGAGGGGGAAATGCTGTATAGTTTGAATTAAAGTTTGTGTGTGTGAGTTTAGCCTTTCAGTTTTCAGTTTTAGCACTGCAAACTGGATGCTGAGGGGATCAAGTTCTCTTAATTCTTTGTGCTTGTAAAACCATAAGACATTTGCAATTTAAAGAGATCTAGCCATTATTTCCTTTTCCCATATTAAAATATATATATCTTTGTGATATCTATATGTAGAAGATACAGACATCTATTTAATTTTTGGTCTTTAGAGAATTCCTGTAGTTAGTTTTTTCTGTAATGGTGTAAAATGGCCTGATAGGATATAATATGCCAGTGGCTTAGACTTCATGTGTGTGCGTCAAAATTACTTCAAAATATTTGTTAATATTGAGAGTCTCAAACTGCAACATGTTGTGAAGTATTCTGCTCCCAAATAAAAAATAAAGCAGAATAGGAAATACACACTCTTCATTGGAAAGGAAAAGAATATTTTTAACTGAGGATAGATCTAGGGATAGGTATGAGGATAAGGCTACAGTGGATTTGAGAAGAGTGTAAATTTTTCTATTGATCTAAAAAGCACTAGAACACTGAGTTCATTTAAAGCAGTTTGATACTTAAGGGTGGAGTAGCAACTTCTAAACGATGCTACATCTTTTCAAATATTCTGCATGTAAAACCTCCTTGGGTTGTGAAGGAAGGGGATAGGGGTGTTGATATTTGTGAAATTGTAAGGCAAACTTTGTATATAGTTCAAAAGTTTATAATTTTTTATGCTGCATTTTGAAGTGTATTTTGTCTTTAATAGATAACAGCTGTAAGTACTGTGTACACTATCCAGCCAATAAAAGGTTTCTAAATAAGCTGTTTATATCTAGTCTACTCGTGCTTTAATGCTTTTTTGGAATTGTGGGGTAGTTGGAACAGCAGCCCTAATTAGTAGGAAAGAAAGCTATCATAATTCCACATATAGTATACCGGTATGTGTTTTTCATGCAGCTCAACATGCAGGGTGCAACTGCTGTTTGCATCAAACTCTGTGTTCCTTTTATAGCTGTATAGTCAAGACTGAATAATATTTAGATCTGTGCCAAACTAAGCACTCCTTGTATTATGATGCCCCAGCTGACTGCTTAGATTGTACGTTTTCCAAATCAGGAACATGTTTTTATTTGTGAATTATAGTCATTCTTGCCTATATGCTGTAATATTTGCTTATGTTTAGCTCAATGTAGTACTAACACCACTGCTTTTCCACAAACTCACCAGCCTCCATTCTTGCATAGCTGATCTTATCACACAGAACAAAAACTGCAGTTTTAGATTGGTTTCAAACTGCTTTTACTTCAGAGAGACTACAAAGGTAGTCTCAACAGGAAGCAGTATAGAATACTGCAGTGTTTTCATGGAAATTGGTACAATAAGGGTCTGTGCTTGGTTTCAGGCATTGCACTAGAAATACAATCTATTGAGAATTCCACAACATTTAAGGGAATGGGTTGGTTTGCACATGCATAGTTGATGAGGAAGGTGCACCCCAGACACTTCCTTTTCTAGCCATACCTGCATCCCTTTCTTAAACTGTAGGATGGCTAAATCTACGTATGTTGTACCGTTTTTACCACCATGCTGTTATAAACACGTAATGAAAATCTGACAGGGAATAGCAGACTTTCTTTACACCCAGAAGTCAGGTGTACTCTGATCATCCTTCATTTCCACTGAGTGTAATAAGCTTGTCATTTTCAGCCGTTCCAGCAAAATTATATAATCAGCCAATTCCATGGTAAATATCTTCCTGTACCAATTTAAAGAAGAAACTGCGTCACATAGAAAAATAACTTCTTAAGGTTTCTTTCCTTGCAGAAAACACCAGTTTTCTGTGAGCAAAGAGATTTGGGCTATAGAGTGAAGGAGCATTCAAATATGAAATTGCAACCTGACACAGTTCAGTGGAAGATGTATCATATTGTTCTCAGACACATCAACTTCAGGTAACAATCGTGACTCAGTCCCTGTAGCTGTTATTTTCTTGAGTCGTCACGGGCTGTTTTGATGGTAGAAGGCAAACTCAATTAATCTTTCCCACAAATCAGTGCCTAGTATTGACTGAGAGATGTACATCCTCATTTTATAGATCACATCGAATACAAGAATGTCATAAATGAACTTTCCATTAATCATGTTTTTAACTACTGAAACTGGTGTCTATGGATATATCATTTTTAAGGAAAATTGCAGTCTAACTTGATGTTGTTTCTGTGCTTTATGCCAGGAACCATAATAAAACATTTCTGGAAGTTTGTAAAATACACTCTTGGGGGCTGAGCTTGGAAAACTTCTGAAATCCAAAGGTTTCCACACAGTGTATTTTACTATCTATTACACACATGGTGTGGTTTTGCAAGCTTTGTCCCTTTTTAAAAACAGTTTATCTTTCCCATCCCCTACACTGGCTGCGAAATATGAAAAATTGTAACACATCTCTCTCACCACTCAAATCAGTCCAAATGAACACAACATGACCATAGTCTGCATGCTTTGTTTTACCCTTGAAAACTAGTTAGAAACTAATATGGAATTTGGCTGCTTCTGCTAATAACTTTGAAAGTTGTGCCATAAATCATACTTTGAAGGCTTTGCATGTAACTAAAGAACCATTTACAATGTTTGGGAAGTTTTTCAATTAGAACAATAGTGAACAGTGGTAGATATGAAATGAACCAGTGTTTTCATGACATGAAGAACATGGTTAAAGAGAGGTTTTTCTCCATTTTATACTAGTAAACCTGGGATTATCCAGTGGAGCTGAATGGTGGGAGGCTCTGGACCAAGCAGCACATACAGTATCTAAACTGGAACTAGCCAGAATGATGGATGCTATCTTACCCAGTCTAAAAATTACTAGACAAATTCATGGTCTAGAGCAGTGGTTCTCAACCTTGTTCTTGTTGTTCTCAACACATGTTCTTGAACTACAACTCCCAGAAGCCTTCACTTCTAGTTGTGCTGGCAAGAATTTCTGGGAGTTGAGGATTCAAGGTTGGAGACTACTGGTCTAAAGCAGTCAATGGTAGCTAGTTGTGACCATATATTTCCTTGAAAGGCAATATGTCTCTAAGTGATAGTTGCAGGAGAGGGGTAGTGTGTGTTCATGAGCTTCTTCCTGCAGGCATTGCATTGGTCACTCTGGGAACACAATGCTTGATCTAATTCTTTGCTCTGATCCTGCCCAGTTTGTTTTCTGTAGCCTGCCCCTAAAATACTGGGCACTACATTAAATCATCATCTCATCAGAATGGGCAAGTAGTTCCTTTTGGGCAATATGTTAAATAACATACAATAAACTTTATATATTTATAATAGCAACATTAAGTAGTTTTAATTATATAGGATACAACAGCATAACCTGAAGATGTTTGGATTTATTCAGAATCTGTGATGTTTAGAGCAGAGCCATTGAAATCAACAGTAAGTAATGCAACATGGATTTCAATAGGCCTTGTATAAATATGACTTAAGACTGGATCTACTGTAATCCCGTTTAAATAGTGGTGGTGGTGATGAAAGTGCAATGCAAATCTGTTGCTTGCCATTTCTTTGGCTATTAAATTCGAGAAAGAGTGCCATAGTCTGCTAGACAGTCAGTCGTGCCTGGGACAGGTGACATTTCTCTGGCTAGCATCCACTTATGCCCTTCCCTCTCAACAAAACTGGAATACTGGAATAAATTTGTGTATTTAAAAAGTGTTATACAAAAGATCAGCAGGCACTTTGAGTCCCATTTCTCTGCCACTTCGTTTCACCGTGTCATCTGTTCATTTCAAAAATCATGCAAGCCTCTCTCTCTCTCTGCAACTATGCTTGCTGCTTCGTCAAGTGACTCATCACTGAGGTCCACAATGTACGGTAGTAAATGACCCAGAGATGTGGAACATATGGTTCTCCCCAAACTGTTGCAGATTTGCAGATCCCACCATGACCCCATACTGGCTAGGGAAGATGATAGCTGCAGTCCGACAATATCTGGAAGTTGGCACATTTACCTGCTTCACTGCATGGTTCTGACACAGTTAAGCATCACAAAGATGCAAGTACAATATCAGCACTCACTGGCCAACCTAATTTCTCAAACATTCTAAACCCTGCTACCCCCTTTAAACTTAATTCCACATGCTGTTCTCCCCACCTCAATTCATGTGTTCCACACAAGAGATCTTTCTAAGCAGCTATATGTATATCACCTGCCACCGTGTGTAAGGCTCTGTGGCCTGGTGTATTATTTCCAACACAAGTATTAACATTTTGTTTTATTTAAAACATTCTTAAGGACAAAGGCCCTCCCAATGTAACTTTCATGATAATAGCCCACACAATATATTTCTATCCAGCAATAATAAATAACATGGCTGCCTGGATATCTCAGTGGTTTAGGCACTGGTTGCAGCACCAGAGGTTGTGGGTTCAATTCCCCTCTGTGCCTCTGGGCAGAAGAGCCAGCCTGTGTGGCTTTGGGTAAGCTGCACAGTCCCACGATGCCCCCAGGAGAAAGGAATAGTGCTTGTGAGTACACTCTACCTCAAAAATTCTTTAAAACGGTCGCTATAAGTCAGAATTGAATTGACAGTACATACCGTAAATATTATTATTCTTGTTATTATTAAATAAATAAAACTAACATGAAAAATATTCCAGCTGAAACATCAATAAAAATTAAAACACAATTGAACCAAAAACAGTCCTATAAAACAGGGGCAGGCCAGAGAGAAAGCACTATAGGTCAGCAGATCTTCATTCAAACTTCATAACGATGCCCTCAGGGCAACCATTCTAGAGATGGAGGTCCTCCGTAGAACAAAACATTCTTGTGTGCTTCTGTGCTTGATGAAAGATGAACAAATGGAAAAGGGCATTGAGCTGGATGCTGCAGAGACCTTGCAGGGAGAAGCAGCACATCTTTTAAGTGTTAAATGGTGTCCAATTTTCATCACATGATTTACTCTGATTTCCTAATAGCGTGGAAATTAAAGTTGTGAATGATTATCAGAAATTAGACACAGGCTAATGTCCCTGCTCAGACATGAAGCGCCCAAGAAACTGTAGCTCTGGAACAATGATGTGCTCTCATCTTCTAACGGCAGATCAACTCCAGCCATCTGATTTGATGACCTGAACAACGTTAATGACAGGACATTTTGGAGGCCACTACTTCAGACAGTCACCATAAGTCAGCAGCAGTTTAACAGCATATAAGGAGAATGCATCACACTAGTCCAGCCTGAACATTACTCATACAATAGGAGAGGAATAGGGAACTCACAACCTTCTAGATGTTGTGAGAACTGCAATTCCCATCATCCTTCACTCCACTGACTGCTAGGGCTGCTGGGAGCTGGAGCAGACAGCGACATGGTTCCCCACACCTGTGCCGATCACAGTCTTGACCGAAGAAATCAGCGAACGTTTTCTTGAGCTTTTGTCTTCTTAAATCACATTATTTTTATTTACGTACTTCCACCAAATACAGACTTCCAAGGTGTCTAGTAAGTACAGTCACTCTCATGAATTTACTGTGGATGGGAAGATGTAGTTTTTGATACAGCTGAGTACACATTACCATTGACTGCAATGCAAGACTAGCTGTATGAATGTTTCTGCTAGAGAGAACTCATCTGAGCCTGGAATCAGAAGCCCATTTCTCCCTAGATCTTTCTCTACGTAGTCTTTCTCAAGTGTCCTCCGGCTCCTAAGTAAAGCTTGTTGAGATCACTTCATTCACTAGAATACATAAAAAGAAATGCTTCCCTCTATGAGCACCTTAAGCCAGCCAGAAACAAGAACATGTTCTTGTTCAGAAACATGGATGTGAGTACAGTAGGACCCCCTACTGTATGCACTGATTCACTTATGCACTGCTTGAAAGTACTAAAGTAAAAGAAATACATATTTATCTGTATTTCCAGGGTATGTTAATTAGAACTGGTCACTAGAGGGAGACAGGGACCATGCAATGGATAGTGTTCAATACTGTACTTCCGTGTTTTCCAATGTCCGCGCAGGGGGGGTTGGAAATTATCTCCCTCGGATATGGCAGTCCTACTGTAATGCATGTTTAATATGAGTACTGTACCTGCATTCCCATTCAGAGATTGGAGATTTTATTTCCCCTCAAAGGACAACTTCCTGAATGTCCCTGGAAGCCATGGGCATTGGTCAAGCTGCTGATGAATTTGCCTACTATGGAACACCTCTAAGCTGTGCCCACATCATAGTTTATATCTTGCCACACAGAAATAATACAATGCAACTTCTGATACAGCTCCGAGTGCCCATCGGTCACTGGCCGCGCTGCAAGACTAGCTGCATGAATTACAGCCCGAATATACTGTAATCCAAGAGACAAATTGTTATTAGTAATGTTGAAATTAAAATCAATAAGCTGACATGAAATGTTTGAAAATTATCAAGAAAGCAACCCCCTCCCCCAACCCCATATCAAAATTCAGACTCTTCTCTCACACTTACGTGGCTGAGAGAATGACCTGATTCTAGCTATCACTTCCACACAATCCTAGCACATTTCTGGAGGCCAATAATGATATCTAGTGTCTTCTGAAAGTGGGATCAAAATTTTGTTAACATTAGGGGGAGTTGGTGAAAGACTGGTATTCTATTTCTTGGCTGCTGTTTCTCATCTGTTAAAAAAATTAAACTAGGTTAATAACTCCAGAGACTCAAGATAAAATTTATGGAATAAGGTACTGTATTATCACGGTGGTAATTACCCTGATTTCAATCTACTTTGGCTGTGAGCCAGATTAAAAGGCAGCCTGTACTGCCTACAACAAAAACAAGTTAAAAGCCACTATACACTCCTTTAGGAGTCAGGTTGGCAAATGTCAAGGTGCAGCTATTTGTATCCAATCATTTTAACAAAATGTATGAAGATTCAGCACCAAATATTCTGATTTTCTGGATGCTGCATACTGGTAAAGCAGAATTTTGAAAATGCCTTTTCATGCTGGTCATAATGGTTTAATCCATTATATCTACACACACACACACACACACACACACACAATATGACCAGTTTCCAGATTGTTAAAAAAAATTTGATTATTGTTGGAATAGCCGACTACTGTTATTGACATACATAACAAAAGAATTTCTGATTCATGGTGGCCCTTCCCATTAATGACCTCTGAAAGGTTCAATTTTTAACAGGCCTTCCAAGGTTATGCAAATGAAAACCTGTCCATACTTGTGTTACAGTTAAGACTGTAGTTCAAAAGTAAGCAGTCAGAAAAACAGCAGAGGTTGAATTAATTCTACCCATTTGAACTGAAACTCAGCCAACTCCAACCCCCAGTCCAAGATGTTATTCACTCTGTCCAATTACTTTAAACCTTTCATTTGCCTAAAACAAACCCTTGATGCTGCTTTGTCTTGCCAGATTTCTATGGTGAGACTTCGAAAACACTTTCTTTCCAGTCCTCTTTTTCTTGCTTTTCATTATTCAGCTGTTCAAACTTACTGACTTTGCCATGTTGTATTTCTTCAGGAGTTTTCAAGAATCTGGAATTTTTAAAAAAAAAAATAACGTTGAACTCTATTGCACAGAAAATTAGAAAGCTTGGTTGCTTGTAGGATGGACCTGCCTGTACGATTAAATGGCATTGGTCGCCCTGCTGGATGACCTAATTAGGGAGGCTGACAGGGACAGAATGTCCTTGCTTGTCCTCCTTGATATCTCAGCCACCTTTGATACCATCGACCACGGTATCCTCTTGGAGAGGCTCTCTGAGTTGGAGATTGGTGGCCTTGTTCTTGCTTGGCTCCGGTCCTTCTTGGAGAGCTGTCCCCACAGAGTTCAGATTGGGGAGAATGTATCAGCCCGGTGTTCCCTCAATTGTGGGGTCCTGCAGGGCTCAGTCATCTCCCCAATGCTGTTTAACATCTACATGAGGCCCTTAGGGGGGGTCATCCGGGGATGTGGAGTCTCGTGTCACCAATATGCTGATGACACCCAGCTCTACATCTCATTTTTTTCCATTTGTAGTGGATGCTGTTCCATCCCTTGGAAGCTGCCTGGAGGCCGGTCTGCAATAAAGGTAAAGGTAAAGGTTCCCCTTGACAATTTTTGTCCAGTCGTGTTCAACTCTAGGGGGCGGTGCTCATCCCTGTTTCTAAGCCATGGAGAGCCAGCGTTTTGTCCGAAGACAATCTTCCGCGGTCACATGGCCAGTGCGACTTAGACACGGAACGCTGTTACCTTCCCACCGAGGTGGTCCCTATTGATCTACTTGTATTTGCATGCTTTCGAACTGCTAGGTTGGCGTGAGCTGGGACAAGCGACGGGAGCTCACGCCGTCGCGAGGATTCGATCTTACGACTGCTAGTCTTCTGACCCTGTAGCACAGGCTTCTGCGGTTTAGCCCACAGCGCCACCACGTCCCTGCAATGGATGCAGTCAAATGGACTAAGGTTGACCCCAGACAAGATGGAGGTCCTGTGGGTGGGTGGCCCCGATATCAGTGGTTTGAGGGAACTCCCTCTCTTTTTGGGGGGGGGTGACTCATCACAAAGAATTCGGTTCACAGTCTGGGGGTCCATCTTGACCCGACACGTACCATGGAGACCCAGGTAGCATCCATGGTTTGGTCTGCCCACTTAAAATCTTCGGCGGATCGCCCAGATGCATCCCTATCTAGACTCAGGGGCACTCACCACGCTGGCCCCTGAACAGATCGCCCAGATGCATCCCTATCTAGACTCGGGGGCACTCACCACGCTGGCCCCTGAACTTGTAGTCTCAAGAATAGACAACTGTAACACTCTCTACATGGGGCTTCCTTTGAGACTGATGTGGTAGCTCCAGATGGTCCAGAATACGGCAGCCAGGCTATTAACAGGGGTGAAAAGATTTCACCATATTTCCCCCACCCTGGCCACCTTAGACTGGCTACCTATTTGCTTCTGCATTGATTTCAAGGTGTTAACCATTACATTTAAAGCCCTTAACAGTTTAGGCCCTCTATACCTGGCAGAGCACCTTCTTCCACCCAGTTCTACCCATATCACCCATTCCCGTCAAGCTGGGTGGCTGAGGGACCCAATGCCAAGAGAGGCCTAGTGGGAAAAAAGACTAAAAACCAGGCCTTCTCAGCAGTGGCCCCTCACCTATGGAACAACCTACCTGTAGAGATCCGCCTGGCTCCCTTGTTGAGGGCCTTCAAGACTAACCTGAAGACATGGCTATACAGGTAGGCCTTCCCTACAGCTATTACTTAGTCTACTTCCCTTTTTCTTTTTTCTCTCTTTCTTCTTCTTCTCTTCCTTTCTCCATCTTTGATTCTGTGATTAATTTGGATTTTACCTTAGTTTTTTTTATGTTATATGTAAACTGCCCAGAATAGACACGTTCTAGATGGGCGGTATATAAATCTAATAAATAAATAAATAAATTAAGAGCATGTTGACAAAAATCACAATTCAGTGTCTGAGTATCAGTCAATATTTCATATTGATTTTTCTTGATTTTTAATCAGGTTGTGTCCTATTTCTGGATCTCACCATTGGTAATAGCACGTGAAAATGGTGAAAAGGAAATTAAATCATACTGTACCCAATACAGTACTAGAGATGTAAAATTTCCTCCCAAAAAATCATTTTTTTCTCAAAAAAGAAAGGGAAAAAACTTTTTTTTCTGGAAAAATTGGATATTTTTGAATGTCATCACATTCTTCTCTATCAATATTTTGCCAATGAGTTCTTTCCTCACCTGAATAAGAGTTTCTGTCCAGGTTCCTTTTTGAGCATGTTCAGTTTATAGTAATGCCTCAAAGCTCTTGACATCTTCTCATATGTCATATTTCTACGATTCTGCAAGGTCAAAGGAGAATAAATTTAATCCTGATTCCTGGTTCTGTTGACCATCATTAGAATTATTCAGACTGCACAAGCCAAGGAACATCTGTTTTCAGAACCCCGAGTTTAGCACAGGCAGACTGCTGGGCCAAGCAGCAGTATATTGAAAATTTAACTTCCATCTCTATAAATTAAAGGAGAGGTTTGGCTTTCAGGGATTTCAAGCAGCTCTTGACTCCAAAAACTTCACTTGGGATATATATTTGCAAGACACTGTACAAAGAGCTGTGTTCTTGTGACTCAGATCATTTGTCTATGTAGCTTAGCCTTCTAACATCCATCAACCAATGGAGGTTGTAGTTAACAAAATCTGAAGGGATAGGAAGTTACTTTTTTGGGCTAAGACGAAAACTCTTAGCAGCCCATGTCCAGGATGGGCTACTAGCTGGGACTACTAGCTGGGGAATTCTATGACTTGCTCCACCTCTGGAAGAGAGCCAAGCTTGGTGAAGACCAATGTAGCTGACTTCTGTCTATTTCACCTGACTATGGCCCAACATGGTACCAGTAGCACGTCTCTACATCCCTTCTATATGACACTCATTGATAAGAGCTTAGAAATGAACAAGGAGTCATGGTTATCTGTACACTGACATTAGCATGTCAGCTATGAGCAAAGAAATAGGGATCAGCTACATATCTGACTGTTAGCCAGTGAAGGAGAAGAATGTGAGAAACAGTCCTCACAAGTAAAATTACTAGTTATTTGTATTTATGGGGTGGCAGAACAGCCCCATAAATGTTAGTCTACCTTTATCCAGTTAAACCAACACAGATCATATGTTTCAGTGAGTGACAACAAACCTTTAAGGAAATTCCAAAATACATACATACATACTAAAGTGTTACAACCACCAACATCATCATCATTTAAAAATACACGAAACAGTCTTTGACTGGTGTAACAGGTACAGGTTTTAACCCAAAACCTAAGTATTAATTAAATATTGGTGTAATAAATATGTTCTTCCTAATATTGCCATTTTTGCAGCTCTCATTGTGTTACTTCAGGGATCTGCAGCTGGTTACAGTATTTTATAAAATTCCACAGCATTATTTGCAATGCCTCAATGATTATGGAGACTACTAAAATGTGTTTATCCACAAGCAATCTATTGCCTGGTCTCTGTATTTGATTACTTCTTTATTTGGAGAATTCTTTATCTTCAGCTCTGGCATCCCCTGGAATTCCAATGTTAATTATCCTGACGTTTTTTGTTCTATTACTGTTACTGTTGTTGTTATTGATATTGTTACAGTAATGTGCTGTGAAGTAGACTCTGACTTATGGCAACCCTTTCCTGCATTTTCCAAATATAGGATACTCAGACATGGACTACCCTTCCCTTCTTCCGGGGGTGCTTAAAGGCTGTGCAGCTTGCCTAAGTTTCAGGCACAGTGAAGAACTGAACTCTCAACCTCCGACTCCAGAGCCAAGCACCTAACTCCCTAAGCTACCCAGCCAGCATTATTTAAGCTAATCAAAAAGGCACAAAAGAATATGAAAAAACATACTCAATTGTGCAAACTGCAAGAAAACATTCCCCTCATCAGACACATTCATGAGGCTTACTTTTCACATCTGCCTGATGATGAAAATGTTCTCTCAAAAGCTTGCACAGGGGTTTTACGTAAACAAAACAAGTGCTCTTCCACTGGGCTAAGGCTCCGCTTGCATATTGACATCCTGGGCAGGTGTTTAGGATGGATAAAATAAGTTAACAGTATCACCTGACCAATTTTTACTGCCTGAACATGAGGCTGTGAGCTCTGTTGCACAGCAAATAATTGTGTCAGTAGGAATATGCAATCTCTTGGGACAAGACAGCCAATAAAACTGAACCACATGTTGACTGAAAAAACTTCCCAATTTTTATCCATGAACAAACTGTTACGAGCATTGACCCCTAAGTGACTCATAATGACTTCTCCTAAGATAATTACCAAGTTGGCACTTTCTCTTGCATTTTACAATCCACACATTCAATTGTTGATAAATGACTTTCTACTCAGACTTCACTCCGGCCACTTGAAGCAGTGAATTACAATTCATAAATGTTTATGCCAGATAAAACTTCTTGGTCTTTAAGGTGCCTCACTCACTCACTCACTCACTCACTCACTCACTCACTCACTCACTCACTCACTATCAATCAATCAATCAATCAATCAATCAATCAATCAATCAATCAATCAATCAATCAATCAATCAATCAAAATACCATCCTAATCACAGCTTGGAAAAACTATTTTGGGCTGTAGATCACAGAATTCCCTAGACAACATGATCACTTGCCTAAATTCTGATAGTTATTCATGCATAGATCCTTCAGTAGGAGCAAAAAAAAATTCTTTCCTGTACAGTAAATGTCCATTGATCTCACATAGGTTAGGCCTTGAGCAGCATCAAGGTTTTTTTAACCCTAAAGACTTGAGTGTAACTAAAGAGGATGAGCAATCTGTGAGCAGATTTTATTGGGCTGCAACTCTCACCAACCACAGGCAGCATAGACAAGGCACATCCAAGCAGAGTGACATGGAAGTTGGAAGTTCAAAAACATCTAGAGGGTCACTTACCACTACATCATCTCCACTACGTATTATAGTTTTAAGCAACAGACTTCTTACATACCTTGTGATTTCCCCAGAGCCTGGCAAGTCCATTGGGATCTACAATCCGGAAGATTCTGGCTTCTCTATCTTCCCATTTGATAAATGATTCATATTGACTGTCACAAAGAAGTTGGTACACATACTCCCAGAGTAATTTGCAGTCTGAGGGTGGGCACAGGAGGGAATATAGAAATAATTGTAGGTAAATTATTGCCATACAGTTCTCTTTTCCTGTTTCACTAGTAAGAGGAGTTGAGGAATGCACCTATCAGTTGTCATAGCTGAAGAGACACCCCAAAAATGAGGAAGGGACAGGTTCACAAGAGATGCCATGCCAGAACTCTTACATCTGTGTGACCAGCAGTCATCCACCTGTGATGATAAGCATTTGTCTGCCTGATCTGCTTTGACATGGATCCCTGCATTGAGCAGAGGCTGGACTCGATGGCCTTAGAGGCCCCTTCCAACTCAATTATTCTATGATTCTATACCTCTGTGTGGAACAAGGAAACACATCAAATGTTATTGCAGCAAACATAGGTTTCCAGGTTCTTTGCTGGGTAACGGACATTCAGGAATAACATTTGCTCAGGATAAACTTCAAGCAAGAAGATGGACCACTTAACCTTTCTCCTTCCACCAGTTCTCCCTTGTGATGTCGGTCTTAGGCATGATGAAGTTTACTTCCAGTTTTAGAGCCATTAGGAGGAAACACAACTAGAAACAGCCTTGAGGAGAGGACACCTTATTTGTAAGAGAGAACCAGCAGGCCGGAAGCATAAATCAACTTTTCAATTCACTTCTTCCCTGAACATGCTTCCTGTTCCTGCATTTGGGTTATGATCAAAATGTGGAATGGGGAAGTTTCTCTTTCCCTTATCATATGCTGTCTGAATCTAAGCTGAAAATGACAAATGCAATTCTTGATTTTACTAAGGATTCCATTTTAACTTCTGAAAAACAAAGTACTATACAGGCTCAGAAGACCTAAAATCATGGGGTAAAAGCACATGATCATTCTAAACTGCCACAGAGATGGTATGCTTTTTCACTCTGAAGTTTGTCATGTGAACCTATATACCAGAAAAATTAGGAACCTGACACTTTTTGTGGACTGGCTGTTTATTTAGCCACCTGATATCAAGTCCAATCAACATGCAGGTTACCTGCATCACTACAACGCTCATACAATGACATTAACTGACACGAAGAATTTTTTTTCAGAAAGCGGGGGGGGGGGACAAGTTTGGTTATTTATGAGATGGAAATCGATGGTACAAGTTTCAACCCAGCCACAAATTTATTAAACCACTGCCTCTTAGGTTCAGTTATCTGTTACGGTAATATGAACATAATATTGTTGGTGTACCTTAGGAATTAGTTTGTAAAGATTGTGGAGATAACATATAAAATGCAGAACCTGAGGAAGGCACTTGTTTGGACTTCACCAGACCACCCGCCCCGCCCCCCCAGTCAGGAGATTTTAGAAGCCTTAAAAAATCACTTTCTGGGAATATACTTTGAATCCTTAGGAAAAGTCCCATCTAAATGGCAATGCAACTCACATAATCTTTGATGGCCATGTTACAACTAAGCTACACATCTCTGAGAAAACACTCTTACCTGCAATTTTACCACTGACTGGAGTTGGTGACATCGTGCGACAGGAACAAGTAACACCTGTCCTGTGACTTATCTCTCTGTCCTGATGAGAGAGCGAGCTTTTCCAAGGGCTGTAGAAGGTCTTGGTGGGAGAAGATCTAGCTTGGTCTGCATGTCCGAGATGACTATCAGTGACAACCAAACATTTGGTAGGGAGTACGTGGCCATCAGCTGAGAGATCGTCTAAGGAGACCAGGGTATTTTTCAGTATAGTATCAGCCAGATAAGTATCAAATAACTTAACATCGGAGCTTAAAACCAATTTTTAAAAATTGCCCAAACAATCCTGTCTAAATGTGTGGGAGATCCAGAACCACCAGTGCTCCCTAAGTGCAAGAAATAGGAAGTGGCCATTTTTTTCCTTTTCCCCTTTCATACTGGGAATGAACTATTCCAGTTACTGAACTAACTTTGTTTCCAGCTCTTTGGTGTATGTCTGAATTAAGAGGATGTCTCAAAATGTCCTGTTTCCAGAATAGCTCAGAAATGATACCTTTTGAGCGATAACTCCCAAAATCCCCACGAGGGATGAAAGGAGTTGTAACCTAGGATTGCAATTTTTCTCAGCTCTTGTTTTCAGCTCCAGTACTGATAAAGTACCACAACTGGTGTGGCCACAGAAGCCAAAATCTCTACAACTGTTCAGAAAGGATCTCTAATAGCTCACCTTCCTTTGCACCAATGAAGAAGAGGAGGCCCTGTCTGCAGCAATCAGCAACCGCACAGATGGCCTTTCAAGCAGCATGCCTACTGAATAATTTCCTCCGTTGGTTTTAATTTCCTGAAAAACCTTGGGGTCAAATTATAACTTAAGGGAAATGGGTGTGGTTTTTTTTTGTTTTGTTTTGTTTTTACTGTTGCAACATTTTGTCCAGCTTCAGACCAGCATACTTGAGCAAACAAACTTTGAAATGAAACCAGGCTTTATCTCCCAACAATCAATCACAAGACAAAAGCAAGCTAAACTGCAACACATGGAAGTGAAGAAAGTATGGTAGGGTAAACAGACATCTTCAACATCTTAAGAGAGCCCAGCTTCTAATGGTGTGCTAACTGTGTTCAACCCTTAGCCTTCAGCACCTGTGAAGAAATTACTTTAGGAGAGAAGAAAATTGTGGGGAGCCCTTTGGGGAAAGCTGAGCTCAGAGATCTTGTTAAGAAGCTACTGACCACTAAAATGACATGAAGTGTGATTACTTCAATGTTCAAGGAAGCCCTTGGAAGAAGGGTGTGTAAATACAACCTAACTGACCTTCTAAGGTTGCTGATGCCACAGCACTGTTGAACAGAACAATGATGTTTTGTTTCTGTGACTTCCTAATTTCCTTTTCTTAGCCAATTATGCAAAACCTGAAATTTTGCAAAATTTAGAGGTATGTTTTGAAACAGAAAGACATTTGGAGGTAATTCATAATCAGACGCTTTAAACTATAGCTTAGGCTATAGACTGGCTATTTTGGTGTGGGCTGGATTAGGCTGCAGTTGAGATTGAAGGGAAGAAAGATGTTCCATTTGGTGGGCTTCTCCCATCCAAATAAAATATCAACCTTCATGTCATCTAAATGCTTCCCCTGCTTGTCTGCGGAAGGCCAGTGGAAGTGAAGCTGTTTTTTGCATCTGCTAGATTATTGCTGATGCAATGAATCACTTCAATTAAATTGGGGAAAAATTAGTTGCCTGACTGTGTATTGCCAATCGAGAAACTGCCCATAGCTGCAGATTTGATCAGCAATACATAGACAGGCAAATATTTTTTTAAAAAAAGAATATTCAAAGTAATTCATTGCATCAGCAATAATCTAGCAGTTTGTTTAGTTTCATGAGCCATTTCAGGATTCCAGAAATTGACACTGGAAGGAGCTGAAAGGCTCTAGTTCAGTCTGATCCAAGCAACTACACTCACCGGGAATGAACTAAGCTGGAGCCCTCTAAGCTGCACCAAAATAGCAGAACCCCTTGACGGGTTCAAAAAGATGTGGATTGAGGCAAATTGGTCTGTTCCAGTGATATCCACATGTGCATGCCAGAAAAAAAAGTAGGCCAAATGGATGCATCAGTGAATCAAACAGCAGGCAAATGCCTTACGTAAACAGCCTCTTATTTAGGCTGTACCTAAAGCTGGTACCTTGGAGCAGCATCCAAGGTGCTGTAATCAGAATAGATAATTATAGGTATGAACATATGGATACGATTTCATCTCTGTATGAAAATTCCATTAATTCTTTCATCTGGACAAACATCCTGTAATTACTGTTCCATATCAGCAGTGTTGTTGCCAGACAGATAAATACCAAGGAAATATTTGTCTATTTTTATGTTATTTTGACTAAATTCACTTTTACCCAATGGGGGTCTTTTAAACATATGAAGCAGTTTGTTCTTTTTTCACAGTGTGTTTATACATCTATAATTCTTATGTAAAATACCAATGAAAACATTTATTCAAGACCAATATATAAATGCATTCCTCAGATAAAAATTAATTTAACGGCCTTATTCTGAAGAATCAGGGCATTGCCTATCTTGTCCAGTGACTTTATTCAGCACAGGAGTAAACGAATTCCACACTATTGGCTCCACTGAGACATGAGCTCCATCTCTTCTCTCCGTGGTTTCTGTTCAAGCTGATCATTACCAGGACTCTGTAACTGTAAGATCTAGTGCCTGAAAACCAACAGGGGAAAGCATCCCCCTCTCTCAGAGACAACATGGTGTAGTGGTTAGAGTGTTAGACTGGAACATGAAGATCCTAGCATCTAGTTTCTGCTCAGTTGGCCACCTGGGTCAGTGACCAGGGACCAATAACCCATTCCCAGTCTGACCTACCTCAAAGGGTTGCTGTAAGGATAAAGAAGGAGAAGAGAGTCATATATGCTGCTTTGAGCTCATGGGAAGAAAAGTGGGGTATAAATGGGATACATACATGCGTAGATGATCCTGACTAAATTGGGATGCCACAGGCTGGGCTTGCAACCTTCTGCATGCTAAGCACACACACCTTTTAAAGATTCAAATCTATACTGCCTCCCAGCATGGTGGGTTATCACATTTGAATCTACGGGCCCTAGGATTCATGCCAAGGGTGCTTTACCAGGATTAAGCCCCTGTTCCACAGCACTCACCTTCTGTAGTGGCCTGTGCATGGTCTACATCCCGAAAGGGAGAGTGAAAGAAAGGGCTGCAAACAAGCTCCCTTCTTTGGGTCTTAATGTATTGGAGTAACTCAAACAAAACATCCCCTGCAGGAAAAGAAGCAAAGAAAGAGCAACTCCACTCATCTACATCCTAAATAATAGTATTCACAGCAGCCTTTGATAGAAGCAATGCATGAAAAACTGGGCACTGTTGTGCTGTAGGGAAGTTCTCCTCTGAAGCCCACTTTGGGTGATTTTCAGGATTTCACAAGCAAAAAAGTTTAGCTAGCAGAAACAGAGTGTAGAGGAAACTGAAAGCTACCACAGAACCATAAAATGCACCCAACAACATACTGTTCCAAGGGGCTTTTCCTCAAACAAGATACAATTATCTACAAAGGGCAATTCACAAGGCCAATCTGTTTCCAAGGAGGAGGAGAGTTGAATACACTAGTCCCTCTTATACTTTCAGGTGTGGGAGAGGGGGGGGCTCCCCGTGCTTCAGTCAAGGATATGGTTCCTAGTACTGTATTACATACAGATGAAGTCTCCCCCAGCAATCTCAACAGCCTTTCAAAAAGGCAACTCTTTCTTGGAAGCAATCAGTTTCACCCATCCTAAAGGCCCTTTGGAAATTCAGTGCATGCCCATGGCTATTCAGAAGAAGCCACACCATCTCACAGCCATCCACCGGCATTCCTTTTTGTACATCCCCCACCATGTGCTATATCCTTAGTGATCAATGCCAGCTCAGCACAAAGAATGAAATTGGTCCCATCACTGTTGTTGCTCTCAATGGACCACCAAGGAGAGGTCAGTGGAAGGTGACTATAGAAGGGAGAGCAAAGACAAGGAGGAAGGCTACTGGAAAAGGTATTATGTTGGTCTAAAAATTAGTACTGACTAAATTAAATCAAGCTGTATAAAGTCTGAATCTTTTATTTTCACTGCACTCCACTGACATCAGTGGAATAATTGGGATGAGATGTTGGATGCACAGGGCTTTAGATTCTGGTAGTAGATTCTGTGGAGTAGAAACTGACTTATAAAGCTCCATAGTAGATTACAAATAGTTCCACTTTGTTCAGTGTGATATTATATTTTTTCAGCAAACATCCACCGAATTGCAACTTAAAAGCTTTATTTCAGTTAATGACACATCTGCCCTTACAATTTGGCCTCAAAACAATGTGGTCACCCAACAGACCATGGTGGGTGCTTTGTATATTCTTCCCACATGTTTGATCTAAAACAAATCATTCTCGTACTTTCCTGATAAGAAATCTGATTATGGGAAAATGGCTTCCTTTCTCATGAGGAATTAGAGACAGCACTTCCAACCTGAATTAGGAGCCCGAAATCGAAAATCTTCTTTGGTGAGAATGCAGAGGGCTTTCCCATTCATTTCAAATTTGCTTTCATCAGATTCTCTGAGACCGTACTCCTTCTCTGCCCATCTTAGCCAGTGAATCACATCATCCTTGCTCCACAAGAAGGGCTGGATTCCTGAAACAAAACCAAATAAGATTCCAATTAAACATGACAGTTTATTTTTTCTATAGACAAGATCCCTGGAATCTTTTTTTTAAAGAGAAAAAAGTACCAAAGAACTGGAATGAATAAGAAGAAAAAGACAACCCCTACCCCCACTTCTAGTCTTTCCTCTTGTGTGCAGGGAAGCATAATATATCACACACAAAAAAGGGAGATGATGCCTATTGTGATGTTGGAATCTCATATTTCTCCTCTTCTTCCTATCCCAAATGATATCCCTGTCATGCTGTTCGTGAGATAATCACTATCCCCTTTTCAAAGAAAGATAGGTTTTCTTTCTTCCTTCTATTGATCTTAATAAGCTCAGCTCTTATCTGATGGGAGGAATTGTTGATTGGCTTGGTATCACATATTTTGACTGGCAGCAATTGCCCCAGACTGAAAGCAATGATCTTTCCCATAACTGACTTTTTTAATTGGAGTGGCCAAATAATAAACCTGGGATCCTTTTCAGGACAAGTGCACAAAGCTACAGTCCCTTCCCCATACTGCTTATCAAAGTTTCAGAACATGTGTTTTCATGCCCATCTTTTAACACAAGAATTGCATGTGAAAATAAAATGCAAACTGGGCACAATCTTTTTTCCCCAGCGTATCATCCTGAACACTCCCGCTGTCATTGGATATCGGAAGCTGAGGAGGGTAAGGTCTGATTAGTAGTGAGATGGGAGACCACCAAGGAATGCCAGAGATCTCCAAGGAGAGCTAGGAAAGAATGCTGTCCGATGCCCTAGAGAGCTGTGGCCAGTCACCGCTGACCATATTGAGCTTACATAAAACTGCACAAGGCGTAGAAGCCACACTCTAGCCAGTGGAAAATCTACTTAGCTATTCTATTGCGCTGCTGAGAATTCCCCTAATAATGCCAATGCATGCTCATGTCTGCCTCTGCAGTCACAAGACCTAGGATGCTGTTTTTCATCAAACACCCTAGGGAGCTGAATTGTGCCTCTAAATGCTGAATGTGACTTAAAATACCTATATTTGCACAGTATAAATGTGGCCCTGCTGCAAAATACACAACGACAGCTCTGAACAAAAATAACTGCAGACAGAATATTTACACACTTTTTATTTCCCAATTTTCTAAATTAAATTATAAAAGGTACACTGTTTAGAATGCCCATTCAGTTTAACAAAGCTCTTCTGCCTTCTGTCTATGCATTCAGATCACAAGGCATGCTTAATATCTTTTCACAGTGGGTGAAGACAAATGTAGGATTAAGAGAGAAATCACAAGAGGCATCCTTTATTCATTAGATCACAAACATACACTTTCCAGTAAGAAAGTTTTTGTCCATGCAACTCTTTCTCAAACTGAAGCATGCTACAACATTGCAGAGCAATTTTTTTCAGATCTTGCCCTAGGAGTCAAAACTTCAATTTCCTACAAAAAAAATCTCCATACTGTCCTCAAAGCAGACCAATTACTCTACAAATGTTACAGCTGCCTTCCCCATCTTAATGTGGTAAATACCTTAATGCAGGTATTCACCACCTGACTCATAGGTTATCATTAGACCCAGGTCTGTTCCATGCAATTATTTATGCCAATGGAAACTGCCATGGGCATTGCTCTAACTTGTATTGTTCTGCATAATCTTTGAGACTCTGAGCTGAAAGCTCTCAGAAACAATATTGGCCAAGACGGTGCCTCTTCTACTCACTGAGCCGGCCTGGCAATGTGCAGATATGTCCATTATAGAGCGAATGTAGCAATGTCACAGAAGCAGGCTGCAGTTGCAGGGGCAAATCAGGTGTTGTCAGAGGACTTGAAGAACTAGCTGCCATGTCACCCTTAAAGGAGAAAAGGCATGTCAAAGCTATATAGATGGCTTAGACTAAGTCATCTTTACTCCAGTATCGTCCTGTTTTAATTGTGTCGTATATAAAACCAAGCTCAAATCTGTATGTATGATGATGTCCCAAGGAAACTCCAGAGAAAGATAACCATATCTGAGAACATATACAACCTAACAGAAGGTGTGGTAGATGAACAAGCAGATTCAAAGCAGACTCAGTAAAATGGAAGCACAAAGGCTGGTTATTATTAATTTGCATTCCTTTGATATTAGCAAGTTAAATGTAACACAACTATCTCTGATAGAACCCATTGTCACATACTGTATTTCATAGCTCATGCGTGACACAGATGGCCTTGTGAACTTCTACATGGTCTAGAATATATGTTGGGTATTAAAAGGTTCAACTGGCTGGATAGCTCAGTGAGTTATGCATGGGAGTTTGGGTCCCCTACCATGCCACCTGGAAGAAGAGCCAGTCAGCAGAGTCCCAGGGCACCCCCAAAAGAAAGGAATAGTAAACCACTTCTGAGTAATCTCTACTGATGAAACCTGGAAAGGGTTCCCATAGCTCAGAATTCACTTAGCTGTTAACATTTAAAATTTGGTGTGTATAAAGTGATTTAAAATGATTGTGGTGGGTGCAGGGGAAAAGTTACCCTGAATGTGAAAATATATTTAAAAGTACAGCTCGGGAAATAGTTTA